CCATTCATTTTAAATCAAAATAGCAGGATGTTGGATGTTTGCATGTCCTCCTTGCGTTCGCGTGGGTTTCCTCCGGGGGCTCCGGTTTCCTCCACAGTCCAAAGACATGCGGTACAGGTGAATTGGGTAGGCTAAATTATCCGTAGTGTATGAGTGTGTGTGTATGTGTGTGTGTGTGTGGATGTTTCCCAGAGATGGGTTGCAGCTGGAAGGGCATCTGCTGCGTAAAAATGTGCTGGACAAGTTGGCGGTGCAATCAGCTGTGGCGACCCCGGATTAATAAAGGGACTAAGCCGACAAGAAAATGAATGAATGAATGAATAAATATTGCCAATAATTCTCAATTCTAGAGACTACAGCTGGTCATTTCAACACCATTTCTTGTCAACAACATCTTGACAGACCCTACTCATTGATTTCCATAGAATTTGTGGTGCCTACTATAGATGTCAATGGCTGTTTTTTTTTTCTAGCATTCCTCATATATTGTTTCGTGTTCAACAGAAAAATTAAATTCATAAACATTTAGAATCACTTTATTGTGAGTAAATGGTGTAGAAATTTTCATTTTTGCATAGTTTGGACAGCCATAAATTATATTTATTCCTCATTTACTGACCCTGCTATTGTGCTATATGCCCTTTTTTGTATTCAGACCTCAAAAGGAGAAATAAAAGTGCTGCTTGGCAGTTACTATTTTTTACAGTGGAGTTCTGATTCACTCTGACTCAAGATAAGTGTAAATGTGGCACAAAATGCAATCCACATACTTTCTTGCCTGCTGTGTTTATCGCGGCAGCCAGTTATCATGTTGATCTGTCAGCTGTCATTCTGACTGTCATCCTGCAAACCAGACATGTATCTAGATATTCAACTCGGTGAAGAAACTATATGGATGCATTCTTGGCAGATTTCTAGGCATTTTGTTTCATATTTTATTCATCTTGATTTGACTGTGGCAGAATGGACCGATGTCTTTAATAACTTGCTCTGCAATTTTGACTGGAACTCATGGCATGAATAATCTTAAAGTGGAGTGTGTATGTATTAAGCGTCTTAGTAAAAATTAAAACACATGGAAAGGTTAGTGAGGGGTATTTCTGACAGAAAGTGTTATGTTTGTAACACTTTCTAAATGAAACCATAATAATTCACTTAATCTTTATTTTTATAGAGCTTTTACGATGTGGATTGTGTCAAAGCAGCTTAACATAGAAGTTCTAATCAATTGAAACTGTGTCAGTCGAGTTTTCAGAGTTCAGTTTAGTTCAGTTCAGTGTGGACTAATTATCACTGCTGAAAGTCTTTATTAATCAGGGGTCGCCACAGTGGAATGAACCGCCAACTTATCCAGCATATGTTTTACGCATGTGCCCTTCCAGCCGCAACTCAACACTGGGAAACAGACAAACTCATTCTCACACACTCATACACTACAGTCAATTTTAGCATACCCGATTCACCTGTACCACATGTCTTTGGACTGTGGGGGAAACTGGAGCACCCGCTGGAAACCCATGCGAATACGGGGAGGACATGCAAACTCCAGACAGAAATGCCAACTGGCCCTGCCAAGACTCAAACCAGCGACCTTCTTGCTGTGAGGTGAGCGTGCTTTTCAAAAGGTACATATTTGTACCCGAAGGGTGCATTATGGTACCTCAAAGATACGTTTTAGGTACATTTGGGCACTAATTTTGACGTTTGAGGAACCACTGTGGACTCTTTGGATACAAATATGTATCTTTTGAAAAGGTGCTGCCCCAGAGACAGCTCCTGTTCCTTTGTTTCTGAAAGTGTACACATATTTAACCATAATAGTTTTAATACCTAATTTCTTTTGTCTTTGCCATGATGGCAGTACATAATACTTGACTAGTTATTAAGCAAGATACTAGTGTTCTGCTTAAATTCAAATTTAAAGGCTTAACTTGGTTAATTAGGCAAGTCAGGGTCATTAGGCAAATCATTGCACAACAGTAGTTTGTACTGTAGCCAATCAAAAAACATAATTTCTTAAAGTGGCTAATAATGTTGACCTTAAAAATTTTAAACATTTTTTAAAACTGCTTTTATTCCAGACAGATGTGTATCTAAAGCATATTTTTGCGTCATATTTTTAAAAAAAATGTTATTGTCATTTGCAGCATAACAAGCTACTTCTCTTCTCTCGCCAAACAGCTCTTATCAGTCATCTAACGACTACATTTAATAACATAAGGGGTTGTTCACACAGAATGCATTTTTACTTTACAATGTGCTTCTTCTATTATTTTTCAATGGAAACATGAGTTTGAAGGATGCGCGTGACATGACCACTGCGTTTTTAGATGCCGTGTCAAGTTAAAAGACGCAGTGCAGCTCATTACTGTCAGTTCCATAGTAATGGACCAATCAGTAGAGCTCGAAGGCGGAGCAACCATTGCAAGTTTCTGTTTTACTGGCACTTTGTGGCTGTGTAGACACCCTGGTCCTTTTTTTTAAACCATTGCATCTTGCTTTTTTAGAAGCTAAGACATGTTCAGTGTGAATGAGCCCTTGTGGTTCCCTAGTAAATCCTGAGCAACCATTCAGAACTGCCACAAACCAGCAGCTGGATATCAGGGCAGCTGTTTGCATGAGCAAGCACAATGCACATTTTCTTCATTAAGAAATCTATTTCCCCTTTATTTTTAACAATGCACACTATGTTTTGCTTTATTTATTTATTTGTTTGTTTGTTTTTTGTGTAAGTAAAAAGCGGTGAGTGATTCACCTATCAGCACCACAGTACATTACTGCTTCACCTGACAGCTGAGACACTCCAAACCAGCAGCGCAACACAATATGACAGTTTAGGACAATTATTACAGCTTTCCCTCTCTCCTGCTCACTGTCATTCTTCACCCTGTGAAGAGCACACACACACACTTCACACAAGATCATTTACACAGTTTATACACTGGGCAGTATGTATAAATTGCTTATGGATGAACAAGATCCCCCGCTGTTGCATTAAGTATCAGTAGGTGAAATAAGAGAGATAAAGTGCTTCATCTGCTATACCCGATGGTCAAATTCCTGAAACCTGGTTATACTGTAAAAGACTGTTGCTGCCTTAAATTTTGCATCACACATTACATAACTTAATGCTTTTGAAACCTGATTCACTTATTAAAATAAGTTAATGTAACATAAAAACGTTTGTCGTCCTTTTTGTCATATGTTTTTTTACAGCGTGCAGACATTGACACACAAGCTCTCTCTCACACACACACAACTTCACAAGGACATATTTGAGGTAAACATGCAGCTAGCAACATGATACGCTTTTAAGATGCAGATGGGTCTAAGGTGCATTCTCTTGTGTGTGTGTGGTGTTTGTGTACCTTGTATTCCTTATATTGTGTGGACTAAATGTCCCCACCAGTATATGAATACCAGTCAAATTCGGCCACGTGGAGACTTTTTTTTTAGTCCCCATGAGGAAAACGGCTCATAAATCATGACAAATCACACAGAATTAACTATTTGTACAGTATTGAAATCGTGTCTGTGGAAAGTCCACATAAAGATAAGTGTGTGTGTGTGTGTGTGTGTGTGTGTGTGTGTGTGTGTGTGTGTGTGTGTGTGTGTGTGTGTGTGTGTGTGTGTGTGTGTGTGTGTGTGTGTGTGTGTGTGTGTATGTGTGTGTGAAAGTCAATTTGCTCCCACATTAATGAACCAATTAAAGCCTGTCAAAAAGGCATCAAGTAAGTGCTGTGAGATGAATGCAGATGAAAAGTGAGAGTGAGAAAGCTCTGTTTTTTCCACTAAAGAGTGATAAGTAAAAATTGGCATTGTTTAAACACGATAGTAGAAAGAGATGAAGGTTTTTATTCTTGCAGGGGCTTAAAGTCACTGAATATTATGTCATTTCAAACTCACAAACTTTTATTTTATGCAGTGGAACACAAAAGCAGAACACTTTTCCATACACTGGCACTTCAATAGTGGTTTGGCTGCATGTCAAGCCTAATCAACCTCCACCCGTAGGATGCCGTAGGACTGGTGGGTTACATGTGGGGGCTCGTCCAGGATGGGATTGAGGTTTAGGGGGGTGAGTGTATTGGATGCCTGCTAGCAAAGTTCTATGCAGGTAAACCTCAATCCTCTGACATCTAAAGGTGCTCTATCAACAGGAATTAGAGGCCATGGTTAGAGCAATCTACTCCCATGCAATTGCCACTGGTTCGATCTCAGCTCAGACTGGGTTGGGTGCAGTAGGACCGGTGGGTTACATGTGGGGGTTCGTCCGGGGTTTGAACCCGGTTCGATCCCAGCTCAGACCAGGTTTAAATAAAAGAGTGCAAAAGCAAGAGCCTTTATTCTCTGTGTAACGGAGGCCAGCTAGTGTGTGCTGTGCAGGTAAACCTCACTCCTCTGACCTCTAAAGGTGCTCTAGCAACAGACGTTAAAGGCCATGGTCTTTAGCCTCCTTGTTAGAGTAACCCACTCCCATGCAATAGTCACCGGTTCATAAGGAGCATTCACACACGCACATGGACATTCAGTTTATTTTTTGAGCAAAATATTATGACTATCGCACATTTACCTTGACTGGATGATGTTAAAAGAATATTTAGCACAGCCCTAAATACTAAATTGTCATTGTAGATTTGCCACTAGGTAAACAAGGTTTACAGTCATTTACAATATAAATAAAATTGAGGATTCAATTCAATTCAGTTGAAGTTTATAGATATAGCTCCTTTCACAATAATTATTGTTTCTAAGCAGCTTTTCAAAAGGTGCATATTATTGCATTAAAATCAAATTAGCAGAAGTTAAGGTTACTAGTCACCAAATTTTTACTATCACTTATTAATTTATATGTTGGGTTTCGGCATTATTGGAAGAACTGGCATTACTTTTCATTTCAGACATTACAGAATTACATTTCAGAGCTGCAACAAATGATACTTTCGTGTTTTTTAGTGTGTGTGTCTGTGTGTATAACTTTACCTTTTTTCCCCCTCCAGATTTGCTTTGTAAACCTGGACAGACATACTTCAGATTGGCATGATGACAACTACATCAAGGTGAGTTCAGATGGTGCTTTCCCTTTTTGCAGTTTGTGATGATCAGAGATCATGAACGCTTATATTCAGTGGGTTTCATTGAATAAAAGGCTCAACCAAGTGATTAGTTCTACATCTTAAAGCAGTGTCACTCGTACATTTTGTCAATCCCAGTTGACTTGTTCATTAACATCCAAATAAATTTCTTCCCAAACATCCCACCCACCAACCACCCCCCACCCATTTCCCCAACCTCTCATTTCCAATTCATTTAAAGCGAATAACAAATGTATGAATGGCTTTCATCATTTCCTAAGCGTATGAAATAAACAATGTTTCTTCTAATTAAAAGGGAAATTAGAAACAATACGAATTACCAAGATAACGCAAGCAAAGAGTCGCATTTATGTGACTTGAATATTAGCATACATTTCCCCACAGAAGCTGGCCTCGGTGTGCCCAGAGCTGCCACGGTTAATTGAGTCTCTCGGAGTGCGGCAACCCAAAGAAAATGAGATTCTGCTTCTCAGCAGCCTAGAGCCACCGGACTCCTGCCAGCATGACCCCAGCCACCCACAGGTAACACATGAATGTAGACCCCAACGTCTGACATTGTTTTACTGTTTACTAGTTAAACTGTGTATGTGTGTTAGTGTACAGAGTAATGCGACATTCTGCTCAATAAAACAATGACTTCAAAATATCTGAAAAATTGAGACAAGTTATCTTTGCTCCAAAGTAGCCCCACCCCACTGCACCATTTCTATACAGTATATTATGCACAATCTTAATCAGTTTTACATCATATCATGATGCATATACATACATACATACATACATACATGCATGCATACATAAGCCAATACAAGTAGATAAAAGTTCCCTTATATCTTCACTCATCTATTGTACATACCCAGCCGGCACACAACATCATAATACGTTAATAAAAGGTTAGATTTAGGTCATGACATCAGGTGACCAAAATTTAAATGTCTAGCCAGCATCTAAGGACAATGTTATTTTGACATTCAACAATGACATCATTAGATGTTGATATTTGGTTGATTTTTGGTTGTGTTGGAAATACTGACATTTATTCGTCTGGTATGGCAACCAAAATCCAACGTCTGATAGACGTCATAGAAGTAACGTCCACACAATGACAAACTGTAACATCATTAGACGTTGATATTTGGCTGATTTTAGGCTGTGTTGGAAAGTGACCAAAATCCAGCGTCGAGCCAACATCTTAAACAAACTTCATATTGACGTCAAATACTGACGTTTATTCGTCAGGTTTGGCAATCAAAATCCAACGTCTGATAGACGTCATAGTGGTAACTTCCACACAACAACAAGCTGTAACATCATTAGACGCTGATGTTTGGTTGATTTTTAGGTTGGACATTGATATCGGCCTAACATTGGGTTCTGAAGTCAACTCAATTTTCATTTTCACTTGGACCACTTCTAACTTGAATAATTGAAGTTGAGTGAATCTTATTTATAATGTCTTGCCAGATTTTCTCTGAGAGAATCAACTCAAGTTCACTTCCCCGTTGTTGTTTTGACTTTGTTAATGAAGTTAAATTTTGTAAGTCAGAATTATTAGCACTCTTGAATTATTAGTCCCCCTCTGTATTTTGTTCCCAGTTTCTGTTTTAAGGAAAGACTTTTTTTTCAGCACATTTCTAAACATAATAGTTTTAATAACTAATTTGTAATGTCTGATTTCTTTTATATTTGTCATGATGACAGTATATAATATTTGACTAGATATTTTTTAAGATACAAGTATTCAGCTTAAAGTGACATTTAAAGGCTTAACTAGGTTAATTAGGCGAGTTAGGGTAATTAGGTTAGTCATCGTATAATGATAGTTTGTTCTGCAATAAGAAATAAATATTGCTTAAGGGGGTTAATAATATTGACCTTAAAATGTTTTTTAGAAAATTAAAAACTAATAAGCCAAAATAAAACAAATAAGAAAAATTAAAAAGAAAAAAATATCATAAAAAATACTGTGAAAAATTCCTTGCTCTGTTAAAAGTCATTTGGAAAATATTTGAAAAATTCACAGGGGGCTAATAATTTTGACCTCAACTGTATGTGAATTTCAGAGCCCGAGAACAGCGGATGTCTGTCTGGTGCATTGTTCATGTGGACGCCGTCCCACCCAAACGAGCAGTATCATTTTTGAGATTAACAAGTTCCTGATTGGACTACAGTCAGGGCAGGAGAGGCAGAAGCATGGCCGATTGGCTGGACAACGAGCTGCTGAAGATGACACCAATCGCTCTGTTTCGTCGATTGAAGAAGATTTCCTCACTGCCTCAGAGCAGCTTGGGGAAGACAGCGAGGAAGACCCTTTCAGGAATGGTAAACAGTCCATCCATCTACCGGTTTAGCTAGAAATTCAATTCATTCACCCATATCTGATCTTCTGATAAGAAAACACAACTTTAGTGCAGTCATGCCACTTTCACTGCATCTACTGTCCACTTTTTAAATAGACCGAAATTGCTTGAGCATTCAAGCATTTATGTTTTCTCGCTATCTGTGAGCATGCCTCCATTCGAGTGCCCCTATTTGGAGGACTGTTTGGGAATGTTTCCACCTCAAGGCTATTTCTTAGTTAAGTAACATAATGTAGCCCTAGCCACTACATCTGAGATTATGGTTTTCAAAACAATTTGGGCATGGTCATAAAAAGCAAATGTCTTCAGTTTCGCCTTTGGGAATAATTTGGATCTCAACTTTTATCTAGGTTGCATTGTCTGTAATAGGCTTAATCAAAACGGCAATCTGCTATACTTATTTAGATACGATGTAGCTAAGCAACAGCTTGGATGAACCAGAATGTACAGCAGAGGAACAATTAAATCTTTTCTATCTATGTTAATGCGTTATTGAGAAAATAACACAAACAGGAAGAGTGGCAAAAAGACTCCCTAACAAAGAAGCGCTGTCCCGAAAATGTCTTGTGCATTTTCATTGCACAAGTCTGAAAGCTTGTTTATCGTGCATTATAATGTTCCACTGCCTTGACCCCTAACAGTAAGTCAAACCCCTGAATGTGTCTACATGTGATAATACTCGCCCCAAGTCTAATATTAAAGAGAGAAGATACACTGGGCTCTGCCGGGCTAATCTATAATTAATCTCTCATATGAAATTAGCAGTAACACTGTGTGAAGGTTATGCTCTCCTCAAAGCCTGTGTAATATTCGCAATCAGATTGGACCAGATAGAGATCAGCATTTGTATAGGCTTGGTTATGGAGAAACGGATACAAATGCAACAGTGTGTTATGGATAGCTTGCTCAGAGCATGGATTGAATCCTCGTCATATCCATTGGACACAGAAGCTTTTATTTTAACACACTTCCTCATATCTCCTTTGGCCTGTGAAATGGGCTTCATTTACATTTGCATTAAGTTGGACATTTTTGTAGGATTATTCAGCTATTTTCAGAGGTCTAGATTTGGGCCCAATCCCAATTCTAGCTCTTAGCCCTTCTCCTTACCCAGTACCTTCTCCCAATTCTCTTCAGCTTGAAGGCGTAGGGCTAAGGGGAAGGACTGGATAAATACCTACAAATAACTGGAATAACTACAGCAGTCGCGATCGTCAGTCTTAAATGAAGCAGGAGATCGCGATGACATATGATGATGTTTGCAGGTGTTGTAGTCATGTCCCATTTCTTTAGGGGGGATTTTTTTGAAGCCTTCAAGTTTCAAGGGCGAAGGGGTAGGGGTACAAAAATAGAATTGGGATTGAATCATGATCTATTTTCTCTCTCTTTCTCTCTCTCTCTCTCTCTCTCTGTGCCCCCCCCCCCTTTCAAATCCTCACCAACCATGCCATGTGTCTTTCTTTTTTTCGCAGATCCTGAGAATTCTCTCATGCCCGAGTCTGTTAAGGTGTTGAGAGCAGCCCACGCTCAAAAAAGGAGTGAAATAGAGAGAGAGGACAGTGAGGACTCTGAAACCCTCTGCACCTCTTCCAACTCCCAAAAGCTTTCAAGAACATATTCCGCCCCTGCAAGAGGCCGACCCACCACCCCAAAACAAGTCAAGGAGTCAGCCGGTCACTACGCCACCAATCTGGCTGAGTCAGTCCTGCAAGATGCTTTTATTCGTTTGTCACAAGATGAGCCATCATTTGTTGCAGAAGCAGCAGTGAGTGTGTCAAGTGATATAAGCCATTCCACTGAGGCACCACAGAGGGCTCGAGCTTGCTCATTCGAACTTCCTAAAATTGTGATTGTCCAAAGTCCTGATAACAGTGAGGAGGTAACAGAATGGCCGGAAGTGCAGTCACATGCAACATCAGAGCATGATAGTGGAAATAAGGCCAAAGCAAAGCATGGTACTCATCCCCCGCACAACTCGCCAGTTGGACACCCTGCTAAGCCATTGGAAATAGCTTTGGCATGTGCTGCAAGTGTCATTGGTACCATTACCACCCCTCAAGTCACAGAACAACTCACACTAGAGTCAGGAGAGGAATATGAGTGTGAAGATGAAGAGGAAGAAAGTGAAACTGATCAAGGGGAGTATTCGTTTTCATCTGCGGTATGTGGCATGTCTCAGGTCGCTGGAGCTGTAGCTGCGGTCGATCTAGCAGATGACTCTGGGGACAATGAAGACTTGGCAGACATGTATTCCGCCTCTATGGGACTTCTGTCAGTTGCCCAAGCTTCAACTGCAATACCTCTTCACTGTAGCATAGCAGAGGGCACCAGCGTTGAGGCCTTTCGAGCCAATGTGGCTGAAGTTCTCCTCAGGGAAGCTTCAGCTGTATTCACTCACAGACAAAGTTATTCAAGTGTTGCAAATTTCCTTGAGACCACACATAACAAGATAGTGGATGGCATCACAAATCCAAGAAGACCGTATCAGGAGCAACAAGATGTGGATAACTTCACTCAAGAAATATCTGACAGTATCTTTCAGTATGCCCTTGAGAAGGCGGAGAAGAGAAAAGAACTTGAGGGTCCTGGAAAAGATGCCCCTAACATTGAGGGTTTCCTCTCGGATTGTGTGAATAATTTGCTCTTTGATGTACTGTGTGTAACATCAAGGAAAATAAGTGACATTTCAAATTGTAATATGGAATCATGTGATGGGCAGGAAGGCAGTGTCGGCTATAGGGCATATGAGGCTGATTCCAAAGCTGGCAGGGAAGCATTGAGCCAATTGCAGCATTTGATTGAGCCAAGCCAGGCTTATAATCATGGTGAAAGGCGAAGCAGTGTGGAGAAGTTATCTGCTCTAATAGGAAAGAGAGAGAGAGAGCAGAAACACATACAGGAGGAAAGAGAAAATGAAGCCAGACTGAAGGAACCCTACAGACTTGCTCTGAACAGAGTGACAGCCACTATGGTCAAAGAGCAGTCTGACCTGCAAGGGCAGCTGGGCAGGAGTGACAAGAATGCAGACTCTGCGCTCCCTTCAGCAGAAAGCTCACCACTTCACATGCAACGAGGGAGGGCAGGAGGAGAGAGCGAGACCAGGCAGCAGTCTTTATCGTCCTCTTCTGGAGCACTTGTGGCACTTAAAATGGATTCGGGGGAGTCCAAAACTCCTGTCACGTGCTTTGCTGAAGATTTGGCGACCACAGTGGTCTCCATGGCTACAGAGCTGGCAGCGATATGCTTGGAGAACTCAAGTGGAAAGCAGCCGTGGTTCTGCGCATTAAATGGTGGCTCGGAAGGTCCAGAAGGGCTGCTTCTGCCCTGCCGCACAGCTGCAGCTCTCCGCCGAAAGGAGACACAAAATGGCACCTCGGTCACCAAGAAGCACAGACCGCCACGTCTCAGTGAAATCAAACGTAAAACCGAAGAACAGCCCGAACTCATGGAGCGCCTGGTCAACCGTGTTGTAGATGAAACCGTTAACTTAGATGAACCCACAACCACTGATCCATTCGCGCTCTTTGCATCAGAGGTCACTGCCAGGATAATGAACTGCCCAGAATTAAGTGTAGTGGACACTTCCAAATCTGGGCAGTCGTCCCGCAGCCGCCTGCAGTGTGAGAGATGGAGTAGCAGGGGGAAGGCATCAAGCTATGAGAGCATTCCAGAGGAGGATGCAGATCCCTCCGGGACATCAAATACTTTGGGTCCAGGAAACAGGCTTGGGCATAATTTGAGCCGAGGAAGCTCTATCTCCAAGCAGTCCAGCTGTGAGAGCATTACGGATGAGTTCTCTCGCTTCATGGTGAACCAGATGGAGACAGAGGGTCGAGGGTTTGACCTTCTGCTGGACTACTATGCTGGGAAAAATGCCAGCAGCATCCTTGCAGCAGCTGTTCAGCAGGCTGCCAGTAAAAAAAACGGACACCTCAATGTGCGTACATCATCTTGTCTCTCGAAGCAGTCCAGCACTGAGAGTATCACAGAAGAGTTTTATCGCTTCATGCTGAAAGATATGGACAAGGAAAACAAGGACTACAGTATGACCAAGACCAAAGAGTGGAGTAATAGCCTGCTACCCCCGTCCCCCAGAACCCCTTTTTGTATCCGTCAGTCTTCTGTTCCTGACAGGCGGTCTTCAGATTCCAGACTAACTGTAAACTCGCCTATCAAGGCCAATTCATTCGATGGCTTTGCTCAAAATGTACACGGGGACTCGCTTAACATCTATCCAACTAACTCTGTGTCGTCATCTGGACTCTGCAAGTCCGATTCCTGCTTGTATAAACGCGGCCAAACAGACCAAATCACAGACATGCTGATTCATGAAACCTGGTCCAGCTCTATCGAATCTCTAATGCGCAAGAATAAGATAATTGCCGAGCCCTCAGAGGACAGTCTGGAACTCGATTCTGCAGACTCACAGCCACATGTACAGCAGTTTGCTAATCGTCTAGCGGCAGACATCGTAGAGAGTGGCAAATCACAGCTTGGAGGCCAGCAGGATGTCACTGCGGCTGCTTGTCAGCCACATATTCCAGTTGGAGAAAGGAGACACGGCTTTAAACATTCCCGTTGCAACAACAGTGGAAACCGGCCAGGCGTGGAGCATCAGGAAAACAGCTGTAGCTCTTACAGTTCCTCCTGTGTGAGGCAGGCATGGCGCGGACAGAGAGAGGTACCCTTGATTCACATTGAACCAGATCAAAGAGAAGAGGCCTCGGAAGAGAAGGGAGGGGTTGAGACCCACCACAGGGAGGCATCCCATCAGACCCAGCAACAAAGTGGCAAAGGGAGTGAGACAGCAACCAAAAGCAGGTAGAGTCTACATAAAAGCTCACAGACATGCTTTCTCGCAGAGGTTAAGCCTTTATTCTTGTAACTGCTCATGACCTTTTTACACCTCTCCAGAAGATAAAAAAAAAAACACAAGGTTTGCTTTGTGAATAAAGGGGCATTGTTCTATAAAGGGTTAGAAAGGTTGGTTTTCTCTTTAAATCTCTCTTTTTACATATGGTTTTATATACAGTGTTATACCCGTTTTAGGGCTGCACAGGATATCGTTTCAGAATTGATATTGCAATATGTGCATGCACTATAGTTGCATCGCAGTTGTGCAGTTTATCCCAGTTGCAATTTTAAGTCTGGATTATACTTGACCAGGAGCCTCAGTTAAGAACACATGAGATTTGTCGAGTAAACGGTTTTGCACACTGAAATCTAACATTTTCGTATACATTTTTTTTTCGTATTCTTTTTGAAAATTTCATCACGTAGACAAATCTTGCATGATGAGTCCGACCCATATGAATTAATTCATTATAATAAAACACAAAAGATTTTGAAGTCCATACATTGTTCTCCCCTCTCTTCTCCAATACTGCATGACGAAGGCGAAGTCTGCTTATCAAAGAGCTGCGCTGGAATATCCACAAATTTGGGGTGTCAAAATTAATCGTTTCTTCGGTGTACCGTGATGCAGATGGGGACAATTCGATATCGGTTCAGTAATAGATCAGAACTGGTTATTATGTACTGACGTCATTTACCTCCTATGCTCGATGTCGCAGTGGAATACGATGGCAAAGGAGGTGAGGGCGACTAAATAAAACGCTCCTACAACTTAAAAGGTAGATAATTATGCACAATTCAGCTGCTTGTGAGTTTGCTGGAAAGTCTTTCATTAGCACTTAAGAAGGCACAGCACATGAGCCGCTATTTCACTACTAGGGAGACATGCTGTAAAACACATCTCTGCCTCTCTCTCCCTCTCACTTTGGACATTTCACCCACTGGCGTGTTGGTGAGGTTTCCTCTCCTCTTGGCTGTTAAAGCGATACTAATGGATCCAGACATGAGCGTGCCTGTGGTGCAAGTGTTCTCCACTGTCTATCGATTACCTGATTACCTGTGAGAACCATGTATTATGCACATATAGACTGTAACCGCGGCTGTTCTTCCTGCGTCACTCATGAATGAACAGCGCTTTCATTTCTAATGCCAATCGCAACCCGTTCTGTTGAGCAGGTGAAGACAATAACCAATCATAGGGTATAAGACCTCACTTGACAGCACTCATAAAGCAAGCGGGATAATATTAACATTAGTTTATTTGCTATAAATGCTCATGCTGTCTGCTGTGCATGTATTTGGGGTTTTGTTTGAAACATTGAAAACAAGTGTTTTCTTTGAGCAGGTCAAATTAAAGGTACAGTTCATATATCTTACTGCTTGCCTTGTATTAAAGGAAAAAATTGTATATCAAATAATATTTTTATACATTTTAATAAAAAATAATTCTTGTGTTGTGAAGAAAAAAATCTTATTGTGTATGGAAAGCATCGTCAATGCACCGAGATATCGAATATTGAACCGAACAATGGCATGATAATCTTTACCGAACTGAATCGTGAGACCAGTGTAGGTTCACACCCCTACCACAGATGCAAAATTTATTTTAGGAAATCAGTAGAATTTTGATACATTGCTTGTGATACTTCACACATTTACCTACGTGAACAAATCCTGAACAGAAACTGGCAGGACCACATTCTGTATTTATTTTATGCAAAATGTCAAAAAGTTATTCGTAGCTCAAATGACAGCATTCTGTATTTAGCTTTTCGCATGTACGGCGACTCTCAAAAAAACTCTCAAAGCAATTTTTTCAGATGATATAAATGAAAAAAAATCTAACCCTTAACCTTTTTTTTTTTTGTATGACAGATGAAAGTTTTGGAGGCAGTTTTTCAAAACGATTGACACAACGTGAGGTCAAATTAATTTTTTAACGTGCGAAAATTCACTCATTTTCTTTTTGGCTTAGTCCCTTTATTAATCACGGGTCGCCACAGTGGAATGAACCGTCAACTTATCCAGCAAATGTTTTACACAGTGGATGCCCTTCCAGCTGGGAACATCCATACACACTCATTCCCACACATACACTATATGGACAATTTAGCTTACCCAATTCGCCTGTACCGCAGGTCTTTGGACTCTGGGGGAAAACACACACGAATACGGGGAGAACAAGCAAACTCTATACAGAAATGCCAACTGACCCAGCCGGGGTTCGAACCAGTGACCGTCGTGCTGTGAGACGATTGTGCTACCCACTGCACCACTGTGCTGCCATGTGCGGAAATTACAAGCGAAAATTTCGGATTCAATGTGCAATGACCTTTACTGTTGAGTTTAGCCATAATGGAGCAAAAGTCTATCATATTCATGTGGCTTTAAGACCTGTGTGAGCATTTCAAGAGGGATTAAAGCATTCTAAATTAATGAATTATTCCCAAGTAGACCAAATCCCCAAATTCCCAATAAATTAAATTCCCAATATACGTATATCACAGATACTTAAAACATATGCAGGAATAGTTGGTGGTTCATTCCGCCTTGGCGACCTCTGATGAATAAGCGACTTTCCCGAAGGAAAATGAATGAATAGTTCCTGTAATGTAGCTGTCTTTCAAGGTACGTATTAGCCACTTGCTTCAAAAGAACAGTGACAGATAATTTGGGGATCCTTTCAGAGCTTAAATAAAATAAAGCATTAGCTGCTAAATTCGCTGTAGAAATGGCTGGTTGTGTCCTCTTTCCCCCCTCAGCAGTGACTCAGACAGGGTCTCCTCAGTGGCCACAGTGCCCCCTGCTGGTGTGGAGGTGGAGCGGCGGTCTCTCAGCGCTAGCAGTGAGGAAAGTGGCTCAGGCAGCTGGGCACAGATTGCCACTGAAGACGACCCCCAGGAGGAGACCACCAGTAGCTTTATCCAGCTAAGCGAGGGGTCAGTCTTCCAGTAGCCCATCATGCCTTGCTGGACAGTGTGGCTTCTCCATTTGGCTTTTCATTAAGCTACATGTGCTAAATGCAGTTCTGAAGCGCAGTTTAGCACCCATATGTGAGCTTGCTTCCCTCATCTTAATGGCAGCAGGTTATTAGTTCTGATGAGTGCTCTTTTCCCTTAGTGTGTAATAACTAATATAACCGTTTTGACACATCTTAATTGATATTAATGTGATTTGGCTTGTGTGATTAGTCCTTAGCCAACCTTTAAAAGCCTCTGGATCACCACCTAGCACATAAATGCAGACACAGTGATGAGATGCAATGACTTTCAGAGACATTCACGCATAGAGATCATTAAAAAATTCATATGCATGTAATGTGATTTATGGTTTATCCCAGACTTCAGTTATAACACTATGTCCTTTTTTTTCTTCTTTATTTTAACTTAATTATTTAGACAGTGGCAAGAACAGAATTTAGGGATCCCCAGCAGAATATCAGTGTGGAAAAAAGGGCCTCATGTTAACCCTTGCTGTTTGAAATATTTAGAGTGTCTCAACATGATTTTTGGAAGGACTTTAAAACGATTTAATAACACACAAAACCTTAAAATACTTTTCTTATAAACTATAATGCAATTTTTTCTGGCAAAATTTATGTCTACGAGTCAAATCAAATAAAATAAAAAAATAAGATTGAATAACGTAAAAGCAACATTGTAAAAAAATGTTACAGCTTGAAAGGCATCCAATGCATAAAACATATGCTGGAATAGTTGGCGATTCATTCCACTGTGGTGACCCCTGATAAATAAGGTACTTAGCCAAAGGAAAATTAAAAAATGACTGAACTAAAATCATAAAAAATGTAATTAATTCGAAATATTCACCAAAAATATTGAACTTAACTAATTGAAACTAAAAAATAAAATAAAAGTAACATTGAAAAGAAAATGTTTCACTTTAAACATTTTAATTGGAGAAATAGTAAAAGATGACAAGCATCCCAATGTCTTACTCTACATTTTATACTTGGCTACGATCTTAATATTTGTTACTTGAATTTTAAGTTACCGAAAATGCAATAAAATATAAAAGTTACATTTATTTAAACTATTAGCCAGAGTGACGTTTTCTCATATTAATTTAGTTTAACTTGGATAACAAAGCAACAATAACAAAACAAAAATAAATTGAAATGGAAATATTATCACAAAATTACTAAAATCGTTAAAAAAACATAACTAATTAGAAATATTCACCAAAAATATTGGACTTAACTAAATGAAATAAAAAAATAAAATAAAAGCAACATTGAAAAGAAAATGTTTTACTTTAAACATTTTAATTGGAGAAGTAGTCAAATATGGCAAACAACCCAATATGTCTTACGTTATATTTTATACTTAGCTACAACCATCAAATGTGTTACTCGAATTTTTAAAAAAGTTACCTAAAAATAGATCAAACATAAAAGCCACATTTATTTCAACTATTAGTCAGTGAAACGTTTCCCATTTTCATTTAGTTTGACTTAAATAACAAGCCAACAATAACAAAACAAAAATAAATACAAAATAATATAATTAACCCAAAATTACTAAAATGTGCACTAAAATCGTAAAAATGGAAAAATGAATTTATAAAGCTACATTTATTTCAACTATGAGCCCGAGCGATGTTTCTTGTTTTTATTTAGTTTAGCTTAAATAACAAACCAGAAATAAGTTGTTGTTTTTTTTACAAAATTAAATATTTAATATTTACAAAATGAAACCAAAATGATTGCAACATGAACTAAAATCATAAAAACATAACTAATATTCACGAAAAATGTGGACTAATGATAACTAATATGATTCCCATCTCCAAACTCTTCAGTTCAGTGTTGTAATCTTTACATCAAGGGTTTTTTTCTACACAAACACACACACAAGCACTAAAAACACTGTAAGCATTGATAGCATTAACACACTGTCTAGTGCACTGGTGGCAAAGTCAGTTCCTGTAGAGCCGAAGTTCTGCACAGTTTAGTTCCAACCCTGATTAAACACACCTAATCCAACTAAATGATTCCTTTAGGCTTGTTTGAAACCAACAGGTAAGTGTGTTGAAGCAGGGCTGCGGCCCTCCAGGAACTGACGCTGAGACCCCTGGTCTAGTGAATTAGTAGACTCCAGTCTGAAGTACAGTTTACACCTAGGGAAATTCTCAATCTGTCAGCATGGAGCTTCACTGAGACAGGCAGGTGCCACGTGTCACTTCCTGTTTACACTCCCCATGAAAAGGATATAAAGGGGGTCTTACCTGTGCCAGCTTAATGCCATCCTCACTTTCCCACGTCTGGATATCCGAACATTTGCTTCCATCCGGCTTTAACCCCCGCTTCATTCGCAGTTCTCTTTCTGCCCGGTCAGGGGGAAAGTTTACAGGCACACATTCATAGTCATCAGCTGGCAGTGGAGCTGATGCCCATGCTAATGAATCCCATGCCAGTGTTCATGCTGTTATCCACGGCTTACTGATCATTGCTGAGAGAAATCAGGAGCTTCTGCATTTATGATTCTGACAATAAATAAAAGGGAAATGTTTTGCGTAATTTGCACTGCCAGACATTTGGAATAATTCAGAATTTTTTATCATGTCGAAGGAAGTTTTTTATAGCGTATTTAGGTTTATTTTTTTATTTAAAATAGTAGTTTTCTCTTTGAATATACAGTTGAAGTCATAATTATTCTCTCTGCTGTGAATTTTTTTTTCTCTTTTAAATATTTCCCAAATGATGTTTAAAGGTGCAGTTTGTAAGAGTGACACCCAGTGGTTGAACTAGGTATTGCATTCCTGGATCAAAACATACACAAGCGCAGGTTGCCAGATTGAGGATCAACAAGATCAAGTCTGACGATTGAGCCTTAAGGCTGATTTAAACCGTGTTCTAAATAAAAGCAACGGCACGCGATAGAAGGAATATTCTCCATATTTAAAGGAGTTTTTGTTCTAAAAAACCTTATTACAATGAATTGATATATTAGAAAAGGCTATTTCTTGCAGCTAAATAACAGGATAAACTGAGAATGATCACATCAGGTAAACCTCATGTCCTTTATTTAATGTTAAAAGCTAATAACGTGAGTTTGAATGGCATTTACCTCTATACTACTGAAAGCAGCAGCAGATTCACCTCAGATCTTGAAAATAAAATAAACCATCTGAAATTGAACTAGAACTGTCGCTCAAAACCAACACATATCAGTGATTCAGCATCTACATTATTTAGATTATAAAGTGAGTGAGTGCATATTCTGTGCTTCTGAATGGCTGTATATACATTTCTGTTGTTTTTCGTCTGGTGCAAACAGCCAAATTTCTCATCACTGCATATCTTGTCACGTAGCATGTTGTTAAGACACGGGGTTACAATGCAATCTGTCACCTAATGTTTACGTTCGTAATATTTATATTATTTGCTAATTTATATCTGCATGTGGAACTCTGAATCTGTTTTCCAACAAGGCAACCCGGAGTGCTGAAATATAATTGGCTAAACTGACATTGAGCGGGTTAAAAGAACCAAAACAAAGACAGACGTTTCGGCACATGACACACATTTTCAAAGCAGAATATCTGACTTCAGCATTGTTTTTAATGATATACAAGAATGTTCACATGTTTCTGAAATATCTGCAACCATATTATGGTGTTTTTATGGTTTAAAAGAGTCAAAAACTGACATACAGCACCTTTAACAGAGCAGGAATTTTTCACAGTATGTCTGATAATATTGTTTCTTCTGGAGAAAGTCTTATTTGTTTTATTTAGGCTAGAATAAATGCAGCTTTAATTTTTTAATAAACAGATTAAGTTCAATATTATTAGCCCCCTTAAGCAATATTTTTTCAATTGTCTACAGAACAAACCATCATTATACTGTGACTCGCCTAAATACCCTAACTTGCCTATTTAACTTAGTTAAGCCCTTAAATTTCACTTTAAGCTGAATACTAGAATCTTGAAAAATATCTAGTAAAATGTTATTTACTGTCATTATGACAAAGATAAAATAAATCAGTTATTAGAAATGAGTTATTAAAACTGTTATGTCTAGAAATGTGTTGAAAAAATCTTCCCTCCGTTAAACAGAAATTGGGGAAAAATATACAGAGATAGGCTAATAATTCTGACTTCAGCTGTATATTAAAAGAGAAATGATTCATTTCATACTGTAATAATACAATTTTTTTTTATTGAATAAATGCAACCTTGCAACTTTAAATGTCGAAAATCACAATTATTCCTGACCTTTCTGAGGTAGTGTTTGTGTGCATATTGATAATTCACTCTGTGTGTTTCAGAAATGGGAACAGCAGCACTTCTAGTCTGGGACTGGCCGACCTAGAGGGCTTTCCGGACTTCTCCATCTCCAGCAACCTAATCAGGTATCCAGCAGAAACACTCGCTCAGATCTGCTCTGATAATAACTGTACTAACACTCAGAGTCCCAGCAAATGCTCGTATTTGCTTCCTGTTGTAAAGGGACATAAGAGGCACATTCTGCTGAGCTGAGAAGACAACTTTCCAGGCTAAAGAAAGACAAATCTGCTCACTTTATAATAAGGTTTCATTCGTTACTGTTAGTTTATGTGTTTACTAACATGAACTAATAATGAGCAACAATGGTACAGCATTTATTAATCAGAGTTCAAGACTTACTCACGCATTATTAAAATACACATTACACTTGTTAACATTAGTTAAAATTAGACTGTGAGTTAACATGAACTAACAATGAACGACTTCGTTTTCAGTAACTGAAGTCGAGTAAATACTGTAATAAATGAGTTGTTTATTTTTCATTCATGTTAGTAAATACAAACTCACATTAGGGCAGCTGTATCGTAAAGTATTAGCACAGATCTTAACCTATTGTAGCAATCTAATTCAAGGGAGAAATATTGTTAATTATAATATTTAAATAAGCCAGACACAAGGGGGGAATATTAATAATTAAGCATAAATAATTATAATATTTAAATAAGCCAGACATAAGGGGGAAAGAGTAATAATTAAGCATAATTAATTATAATATTTAAATAAGCCAGACACAAGAGGGAAATATTAATAATTAAGCATAAATAATTATAATATTTAAATAAGCCAGACATAAGGGTGAAAGAATAATAATTAAGCATAATTAATTATAATGTTTAAATAAGCCAAACATAAGGGTGAAAGAATAATAATTAAGCATAATTAATTATAATGTTTAAATAAGCCAAACACAAGGGGGAAATATTAGATAAGCATAGTTAATTATAATATTTAGATTAGCCAAACGCAAGGGGGAAATATTAATAATCAAGCATAATTAATATTAATATTTAAATGAGCCAAATGCATGGGGGAAATATTAATTAAGCATAATTAATTATAATATTTAGAAAAGCCAAATGAAAGGGGGAAATATTAATAATTAGGCATAATTAATTATAATATTTAAATAAGCCAAAACAAGTGGGGAATATTAATAATTATGCATATTAGCTATCATTAATTATAATATTTAATTGAGCCAATCGTAAAAGGGGAAATAATAATAATTATAGTTAAATATGGTATTTTGATAAGCCAATCGCAAGGGGTAAATATTAATAATTAAGCATAATTAGTTATAATTAATTATAGTATTTAGATAAGCCAAACGCAAGGAGGAAATATTAATAATTAAGCATAATTAGTTATAATTAATTATAGTATTTAGATAAGCCAAACGCAAGGAGGAAATATTAATAATTAAGCATAATTAGCTATAATTAATTATAATATTTAATTAAGCCAGATGCTAGGGGGACATAATCATAATTATAGTCAATCATAATATTTTGATAAGCCAAACGCAAATGGGAAATATAAAAAATTAAGCATAATTAGCTATAATTGTAATTTTTAATTAAGCTAAACGCAAGGGGCAAATATTAATAATTAATCATAAAATGAATGCCTAATAACAAAATGCAATGATGCATGATTTTATGCCAATTTTTTTTTTCAATTTTTTTAAATAAATTTATTTATTAAATATCCTTTTAACTACTTTTTGTACTTATCATGTAAAATACATTTATAAGGAAATAAGTGTGAAGTATTAAAATAAGTACTAAAATATATGCAGTTTGCATTCAAACACAAGAGTGAAAAGTGCATGTTTTGGGAATTTTCTTAATAAGAACATTTTGGGAAGCAGAAATGTACAGCTGGTGTGTGTGTGTGTGTGAGTGTGTGTGTAAATGTGCTCACTAAGCACTGCCGTTTGCTGCGTCTGGGAACAGTCTCAAACATCGGCGCTTTAATGGGCTTTGTGGCCAAAAGCTTGCAGTCATTTACTATTTTGAGCTTATTAGACGAGTTCTGTACAGTCGGGCCCCTGAAGGGCTCCGTGAGGTGACTGGAACGGGGCCAGTGTTTCCCTATACAGGATGATAATGATAGTGTCTCTGTCTGCAGTGAGGAGAGGGAGAGGAAGACTTCGCACTGTCAGGACCAGGCGGACGGTGAGTCAACTACATGCATGCAATTGCTATTTAAAGTGCTTTCAAATGTGCATTATTAATTGAAATTAGACGTGATCTCAACATGAAGAGAGGGCGGGGCATATAATAGCTCCTCCCCTTACAAAAAATAGTGTTGAAGCAAATAAAAAGCAAATGAGAAGCGTCTTAAAGGGGCGGGGCTAGTCAGACACTAGAGAGCATTTGATTGGTCAGAAGATTTGATGAGAAACTGAACTATGAGGTGACCATAATAAAATCGTTGATTCACTTAGGCGGAAGGGTAAATTTTTCCATGTTTATCCAGTTTATATTTTCTAAATGCGAATTGTATTAGTTTTGGAGCACACAACGTCTAAAAAACACTTAAAGACCTTTAAAGAGCACATAATAATACAGTAATGTTTGCTTTTAGTATCTGTTTGTGCATGTACAGTGTAAGATATGCAAATCCACAAAGCTCATTGAAGGTATGAACTGTGTTTCTGTAGGATTTATATCAATCCAAGACCATTTATTGTTTCCGTTTACAATCATTAATTCATTTTCCTTCAGCTCAGTCCCTTGTTTATCAGGGGTTGCCAAAATGGAATGAACCGCCAACTATTCCAGCATATGTTTTAAGCAGCAGATGCCATTCCAGCTGCAACCCAGTACTGGGAAACACCCATTCACTTACATCCACACACACACTCATACACTTCGGCCAGTATTTTTATCCAATTCCCCTATAGCGCATGTGTTTGGACTGCGGAAAGAAAGCAGGTGATGCTCTGGTGAATTATAGTGTTGTTTGTCATTGTGTATTTGCTGAAAATTACAAAATAAAAGTCTTTCCACTGTGACATGTTTTGCTGAAGCTGTGCTTGTAAACTTGTATTTATTGATCGTCTACGAGTGATCATCTGCACTGTCAGAATCTGACTCAAGTTTAAACTGTGATGGCAAAACCAACAGAAGTATTGATTGTGTATGTTTATGATTGCATTAGATTCCTTGGAAGCTGGAAACTGATTTATTGTGATTTTTGTGCCGGATCCGATACATAACTTTAGTTTACTTAGTGTTTAGAAGTAGAAACTTCTGGTGGAAAAAAACAACACGGCTCAATGTGGATATGTATCTCTGTCTATATTTCTGGAGAGTGTGAATTATGTAGCCAGACTGCATGTAGTATGGCTGCATTCCATCTTTAAAACGAATGCTACGGGACATAATGATGCCCCCACAGCTTCTGTTCCTTTAAGCGCTACCAGCTGACCACTTATCTTTTTCTAGATTGCTTTTGAAAGCACTATTGGTTGGGTTTAAGGAACAGCAAGCTGGCCTGGTCGGCTGAAGTGTATATTGCACCCTGTTTTGGATTTGCGCAAGAAGATGGTGCGCAAGTGAAATTTAATATCATCAAAAACCATACACAGCGGCCTCTGGTGGATTTGCAAAAACAAAAACCATGAGCAGGCATACCTCCAGTTACGTATTTCACTGTCCCCCGAAATGTATACCTGGGTACATATCTGTAATGAGCCTGGGTGGCAAAAAACAAAAAAAATGTTTGCAAAAAAGCCAAATTTTTTTTTTTTATAGCTACAATTTTCCAGTATTTTTTTTTCCAAACTGTTAACAGAGAATCTTTGATAATCATGAGAGTGAATTAACAAAAAAAATATATAATAATTTAGATCAAATGTATGTGGTTTTAATACCGGCCAAAATAATAAAAGAAGCCTAACAAGAAATGACAATGAGGATGCACAAGAGTACAAGTGTTACACTTTTATAACATCCTAAGAACCAATATAAATATATATTAGTATGGGCAGCACAGTGGCTCAGTGGTTAGCACTGTTGCCTCACAGCAAGAAGATCGCTGTTTCGAGTGCCTGCTGGGCCAGTTGGCATTTCTGTGTGGAGTTTGCAAGTTGTTCTGTTTCCCCCACAGTCCAAACACATGCGCTATAGGTGAACTGGATAAAGAAAATTGGTTGTAGTGTATGAGTGAATATGACTGTGTATGGGTGTTTCCCAGTGATGGGTTACAGCAGGAAGGGCATCATCTGCGTAAAAAATATGCTGGAATAGTTGGTGGTTCATTCCACTGTGGGGACCCCTAATAAATAAGTGACTAAGCCGAAGGAAAGTGAATGAATGATAAGTATGTAAATACTGAGCATTGACAGTTTTTTGTTGACAATGGCCACAGAATTCAGAATATGGTGATTATTTTCGACATATGCTTGATGTTTTCCCTAAATCACAAACCACAGGGCTTAATCGGAAGATTAAAGTTGTACATGTATGTGATTTTTAATTCTAGTACACCCAAAAAACTTAACTTTTAAAATAGCATCATACAGTGTGAAAAATAAGTACAGAACATGTCATGTTTTTTTCCTGGCAGTAATGTTCTTAAAGGAGCAGTTAACATGGAATTGAGAATATTTTGGTTAAAACCATAAACAATACAAACATAAAAAAGATGAAAAAATCTGAGAATGGAGTTGTGTTTAATAACAATGGAAGGGCACAGGAAGAATGTGCTGAACTGCTGAAACATGTTTTCACATGCATTGCTCAGGTGTGAGTTTCTCACAGGCTTCAATCGAGTGTAGAAATCTTGATGGTTCTGTGGGTCTCATCTGTCAAATCTGCTCTTCATTTTTTATTTTCTATTGGATTCGAGTCAGGTGATTGGCTGGGCCATTCTACAGCTTGATTTTCTTTCTCTGAAAGCATCTGAGAGTTTCCTTGGCTGTGTTTTGGATCATTGTCTTGCTGAAATGTCCACCCTGGTTTCATCTTCATCCTTCTGATAATGTAGATGTTGAACTGAAGCAGCTCATATTCATTTACAATGACGAAGGGCAGAGGGTTGATGAAGAACTACTGAGAGATTTCAGCTGCTGACTCCTGCTGCACCTTTAGAAATATGTTTTCTGAGAAAAATGGTGACGTGTTCAATACTTATTTCTCCCACTGTATGTCTTCTAGCAATAATACTGGCTGTTTTTGGCAGGCAGGTGAGTTTAAAGTAATTCACAGTATCACTGCTCTTCACACTTCTGTGCTAATGCATTCAGTCTGAACTGGGCGTTTTTTTTAACATAAATGTTGCATATTCTTCTGGAGAGTGAACTTTCACTCTGAATGAGGAAATCGGGCATTTTTGATGGGGCACCAGTGGCTTTAGATGAGACACTTTTTTCAACTTTAGCTGTTTTTCATGCAAACGGCCTCTAGAATTTGACTTTGGAAGTGATTAGATGTAATGATGAAAATGCATGAAGCGTCAGTGTGGGCAGTGTGAGTGGGCTTGATGTTTCCGAGCCAGAAGTTAATGTGTCGGACTGCTGAAACAAACAATATAAAAGCATCATTGTCATGTTGCTCAGTGTGAGTATCAAGCTGCCAAGGCTGATTTATTTCAATAAATACTGAATATGATCCACAGGTTTTAAAGGGGACCGATTACGCCTCTATTTACAAGATGTAAAATAAGTCTCTGGTCCCCCTAGAGTGTGTGTGTGTGAAGTTTCAACTCAAAACACAACACAAATAATGTTTTATAACTCTCTGAAACTGCCCCTTTTAGGCTTTGATCTAAATTGTGCTGTTTTAGCGACTGTCGCTTTAAATTCAAATGAGATTGAGCTCACTCTGGGCTGTTATGCTAATGAGGGAGAGATCGTCTCAATTGGGCGGGGCTTTCCCCCTCTGATGTCAATCAAAGTATTTCTGCAGCCTGTTTTTTGTAGTGTGTTTATAAACAATACAATGAATACATTATTAATACGGGCGACGCAGTGGCGCAGTAGGTAGGTAGTACTGTTGCCTCACAGCACACACACACACACACACACACACACACACACACACTCACACATATCCACACACTCAAACATACACAGACACACACACACTCACACATATACACACACTCAAACATACACAGACACACACAGACACACACACACACACTTATGCATATACTCACACTCAAACATACACACACTCAAACATACACAGACACACACTCACACATATATATACACACTTAAACAAACACAGACACACACACACTTACACATATACACACACTCAAACACACACACACACTCAAACATACATGCACTCAAACAGACACACACACACTCACACATACACACACTCAAACATACACAGACACACAAATACACACACTCAAACATACACAGACACACACACACACACACATACACACACTCAAACATACACACACACACACACACTCAAACATAAATGCACTCAGACACACACACATCGCCACAGACACACACTCTTTCTCACACATTCTCTCACACATATACTGTATACACACACACACACTCTCAAACATATACACAAACTCATACATGCACACATACTCAAACATACACACAAGCATACTCTCTCACATACAGATACACCCACACACAATCACACACACAAACCCAGCAGGCACAGGACGTCAACTTGACATCAGATTGACGTTGTACCCCAACGTTGTGGGGACGTTGCATTTTGTTTGGAAATGAAAATTGGGTTGATGTCAGAACACAACAGCAGGCCAACATTAATGTCTAATGTCCAACCTAAAATCAACCAAATATCAACGTCTAATAGATGTCACAGCTTGACGTTGTGTGGATGTTACCACTATGACGTCTATCAGACGTTGGATTTTGGTTGCCATACCTGATGAATAAATGTCAGTATGTGACGTCGATATGACGTTGGTTTAAGATGTTGCCTCAATGTTGGATTTTGGTCACTTTTCAATACGACCTAAAATCAACCAAATATCAACGTCTAATAGATGTTACAGCTTGACGTTGTCTGGATGTTACCTCTATGACGTCTTTTAGACATTGGATTTGGTTGCCAAACCTGATGAATAAATGTCAGTATTTCACGTCAATATGACGTTGGTTTAAAATGTTGCCTCGACGTTGGATTTTGGTCACTTTCCAACACAACCTTAATTCAACCAAATATCAACGTCTAATGATGTCATTATTGGATGTCAAAATGACTTTGTCCGTTGATGTTGGCTAAACACTGAACTCTGACATCACAACCTAAATCTAACCTAATATTAACGTCTTATCAGGGTTCAACACTAAGAATATTTTCCGCTGGTCCGATTGGACCAGTGGTTCAGATTTTTACTTGCCCAGCCAAAATTTTCACAGGCCCCGCACCAAAATAATAATAATAAATTATAGCTATTTCTTAGACACATATTTTAAATAATGTGTCAAAAATAATTTCTGTGAATCTAGAATTTAAATATTTAAAAATTGTTAAAATATTTAGCTGTAAAATATAGCAGTATGGAAAATGTGCATGTATTTTATTGCAAAACAAAAGGTGGCCGACTTAAAAGTGACGGCAAACTATGCAAAACATCACTTTTTTTTCATGTTGTTGTACCCATGTAAATGTCTGTTTCCACAATGTTAGAAACAGATGTTTTCTCTTAGCCTCATAATTTGATGTGGCTGTTGTGTTGTTGTCTCTTCACTGTACTGGTTTTTACCAGGTTATAGAAAACAATAACGGGCTCACAACATCCAATCAGATAAGAGGAACTGAAAACCAATATGGTGTTTACGACTTCACAGAGAAGGTAACATCCAAAGACTTAAAAGAACAAATTATTTCTCGATTCTAAGACTGTAATTGCATGCATTTGACAAATTCTCGAAGGCAAATCAAAATGTAATGACATGGCAGCACTGGTCCGATTGGGCAAGTAACCATTCTGTCTACTGTCCCGAGCATCTCTCACGACATAGGGCAGTCCTTATTGTTGAGCCCTGCTTATGACATTGTGTGCCTGTTGGGAACATACACACACCCACACACACAAGAGCTGACAGTCAAAGCAGAGAGACAAGACGCTGCTAAAACACAGAAGACGGTTGATCGAGCAAGAATGAAACAGCACAGACTAAATGTGGAGCTGATTTTTGTGCAGGATAGAGCTGTACTGAAAGAAAAAGCTCAAGTTACGTTTAAGACGATCAGCTAAAAACCTCTGGCTTTAAAAGTAACTCTAGAAAAGTGCGATTAGCTCATCTGTCCTGGAGTGAGGGTTTAGCTCTGAGAATATTTCAGGCCTCTCTCTTGTTTCCCCCTGAGCTCTTTATCACTCACACTCCTGATAAAAGGAGATCTTCAAGTAAAGGTCTCCACATACATTAGGCTGTGTGCTCATTTCTCTCATGACAACTCTCTGAGAGATGAATTCATTCCAGGGTATATGCAGGAATCCTAAAGGTAACTGCAATATCTTTTTTAGACTTTTTAAAGACCTTCTCGGATTATTGTAAGACCTCATCACCACTTCAAGTTCTGATGAGTATCAAACCTTGAACTCAATAAGCAGCTGTTAATTACATTAATGATGTAATGAGTGTGTGTGTAGACCTGTTTGTAGTAACACTGGTTGTGTTGTCAGAGGTGACGTCGGGCTTGTCGACGGCCGGCAGCAGCTGTCAGCGGGAGCTCCTGGTGCTGAACTGTGACCTGGAGCCGGACTGTGTGGACGGAGAGCTGAGAGCCGCGCTGCAGTGGATCTCAGCATCTGAACTCGGCGTCCCGGCGCTTTACTTCAGAAAGACTCACCAGCACAATCTTACAAAGGTGAGGACAGCCAAAGACTATAGGACACACAAGACATGTCACTCGTATAGTTTTGAATGGGGTAGATGTAATAGTCAATATGGCGAATGAAGCCCTGCCTTCTAGTACAGGAGCCAATCAGTGATCACTATAACCTGGTGATTGTCCTGGAGAGGGGCTCGAACCAGATATGAGTTTCTGCAGATTTTGTATGATCCAAACGTTTAGAAATGAAACTAATGAAACAGTTGATGTTTAGTTTTATTGGTGATTCCTAATATAATATTGAATGGTTAGCTTGGCTAGCAATATTTGGAGAATTTGATGTTTCCCCATTCAAACAGAATGGGAAATGACTTGCCTCAAAGGGACTTCGGGACAACTCAAGGTTAGTTGTTTGTTTGAATCACTAACCAGCAGGTCCATGTGGAGGCTGTAGCAGAGGAAAACACAGACTTCTGCAGAGTCAGAGCATTACTTATTCATGACATACAGTCTCACTGTCACTGAATTAAAAGCAGTCGGTTCTTGTGTATTTATATATTTATGTTTTGTTCTTGTATATAACCATGTTTACCATTGGAGATAAACGAAGTAAACATTTTTAAGTTTAAATTATGCCACAGTAATATCACCCTGCAGCCCAAAACCGGTTACTCACAGGGCTGAGCCTGGTCAGTACCTGGATGGGAGACCACATGGGAACACTAGGTTGCTGTTGGAAGTGGTTTTAGTGAGGCCAGCAGGGGGCGCTCAACCTGCAGTTGAGTGAGTCCTATTGCCCCAGTATAGTGAAGGGGACACTATGCTGTCGGTGAGCGTCACCTTTTAGATGAGAAGTTAAACCGAAGTCCTGACTCTCTGTGGTCATTAAAAAATCCCACTGGTGGTGGTGTGAAGAGACTCCCCTCATTATTGTGAAGTGATTTAGGGGTTTTCTTTAAAAATGCTCACCTTATATTACATTACATTACGTTAAATTAAGCAATTTTGGGGATACTTCATCCAAAAATGAAAATTTACTTTACTCACACTCATACATGGCTGACATCATTTGTAACATTCTTCAATTTATTTATTTTTTTTTTTTTTGTGAAAAAGATATTCAGACAGAGTGTCAACTGTGACATAATGTTAATTTTGGGTGAATTAACCTAGTTTTGGTTATGAATGTGTCATAAAAAACAGCAAGGAGACTGAAGATTTTTAATCATTTTTAATAATTACAAATTATAGCATCATTTACATAAATCACAATTCATATGTGAATGTCCCTGCCCAACAACTATCAAAAGGGAAATTAATTAAAGGGTGGTTCACCCAAAAATAACGTCTCCTCCCACCCAGGTGGTTATAAACTTATATGAAGTTCTTTCTTCTGTTCTGTTGAAGTGTGTATCTTTCTAAACTAATTTCGAAAGGATCACGTGTTTATGATCAACACAGCTGGCACCTCATTAGCTCCGTAATCTGCCGTATTAGATGATTACGAACAAATTATAAATAATTAGAGTTTTTCACTCCAGTTATCTTTGTCTTAAAGCTTTCCCCACTTCCACCCCTACTCCCCCAACCCCGCCCCCTTTTTTTTCCCCGCTCGGGGCGACACGGTGGCCCAGTGGCTAGCACTGTTGCCTTACAGCAAGAACACCACTGGTACAACCTCCTATCGGGCCAGTTGGGGTTTTTGAGTTTCCATGTTCTCCTCGTGTTCACGTTGGTTTCCCCCGTGTTCCTCCCACCATCCAAAAAACATACACTATAGCCAATCGACTTAACCAAATTATCATCCAAGACAACCTTAGTTTACACTTCTCACACGGCGACAAGTAGGGGAGTTCTCGAGACTTACCTGAGCTCGTACTCCTCTCTCGCCCTTCCAATGGGAGGGAGCCCCGGGCTCGAGGATATTACGAGCTCAGGGCTTTCTCCTGGGACAGCATGGCAATTACGCTTTATTGATTATCAGCTAATTGTGAACTCTTGAAAGAAGATATTTTGAAGATTGTTGTAAAAAGCAGCCATAGTAGAAACAAAACATACTATAAAAGTCAACAGCTGTTTTTTTTTTTTTCCAGCATCCTTCATTATATCCTCCATTATGTCCAACACAAGTCATTTTTGGGGGGGTGAACTGTCCCTTTAATTAAACAAAAAAACAAACAGGATTACAGATTTACTTTACATATAAATGTTTTTAGTACTAACAAGATGTACCAAATAAAGTTGCATATTATTTTCCGAACACTCACGCAGTGCACATGCTGTTGTTGTGTAGATGGAGCTGAAGTGTGTGTGTAGAGAACGTGCTGCTGCTCTTGATTTGACGCGAGCTCTGAATAGCACTATCGCTGTGCCCTTCAGCCAGACTCCAGGGCTCCAGAGCTCTTCAGTTTGGAGTCCTAAAACGTGAAGATAAATTAGTATGGATTCCCTCTGGAGCTGCTGTTGGGCTTTTAGAATAGCGGTTTCTGATTTGTGAGTAAAATTAGGCCTGTGGTTGACATCACTTCAGGAGACTTTCACAATATGTTCTACGATACAAAGAGCACACCGTCATCATATATCAAAAGTCATATCTTTTAAATATTAAAGGGAACAATCATTTACTCCACGGGAACCTCCACGGTCCGACTTTATATTAAGTGGCCTTAACTACTGTGTACTTGCATCAAAAAATAAATACAATGTACTTACTGTGTTTATAATGTATTTGAGAACACTTGTGGTGCTTTTGAGTTGGGATAGGGGTTGGGTTATGGACAGGTTTGCTGGTATGGGTAGGTTTAAGGGTGGGTTAAGGTGTAAGGGATGGTCAACAGTGTATTTACAAATCTAATTACAAAAGTTAATTACAGATGTCATTACATACAGGTATTTAATCAAGCATAAGTACACAGTAAATACATGTATTTAAACAATAAGTACATTGTAACAAACTATTAATTCCTGTGTGTAAGTACATATTAGTTAAGGACACTTAATATAAAGTGGGACCTACATTTTTGTAGTATGTAGTCTTGATCTCAAGAAAGAGATAAAATTGGTGAAACTTTTCAAGCTTTTTTTACTGGTAAATTTCCATTAAACAAGTTTGAGTAGTATTGCATTATCATGACGTCTGAATATTAGCTAAGACCATATACAGTGTTGGGGAAAGTTACTTTAGAAAGGAATGCATTACAATATTGGGTCCCACTTTATATTGTCCTCAACTAATATCTACTTACACAGGAATTAATAGTTTGTTACAATGTACTTATTGTGTTAATAGATGTATTTACTGTGTACTTATGCTTGATTAAATACATGTATGTAAATACATCTGTAATTAACTTTTGCAATTACATTTGTAAATTCACTGTTGACCATCCCTTACACCTTAACCCACCCTTAAACCTACCCATGCTACCAAACCTGTCCATAACCCAACCCCTATCCCAACTCAAAAGCACCACAAGTGTTCTCAAATACATTATAAACACAGTAAGTACATTGTATTTATTTTTTGATGTAAGTACATAGTAGTTAAGGACACTTAATATAAAGTGGGACCCAATATTGAGTTGCATTACTTAGTTTTATGTAAGTAATGTGTGACGTTACTTTTGAATTACTTTTGTGTTACTTTTGAGTTACTTTTCTGACCTGAGGCTTGATGTCTTTCAGAACATTTAGGTTTTTTTTTTCTTTTTTAAATAGAGGAACTCTGTGATTAACAACACACTGTAAAATCTCCATTCACCTTTACAAAATTAATGTAGGATAATGTTATCTTCTGTGAACATCCTGACCCTAGAGCTCTACATGGTGTATTTACAGATTAATAACAGTTTAAAGCAGTGCGTTTGCCACTTTTGTACATTTTGGCTGATTAAACTGATAAGTGACATTCTAAAGGCTGATTTATACTTCTGCGTCAAGCGCATGCGTATGCTACAGTGCAGCCTACGCGTGGACGCATAGCCCTTACACGCACCTCTCCAAAAATGTAACTACACATCGCAAGCTCTGTGATTGGTCAGCTTGGTAGCGCTAATGAGTGTGGGCGGGATGGAGAGCCATGCGAGTCCGTTGGAGCGACTGTTTACAAGTGTGGAGTCCCGTGAAGGAGCTCCGGATGAAAAGTTTTGTTTTGTGTTTACCTTATGATTAAAGTTGTTATACATCCGCCGGTTCCTGCCTCAAAATTAGGGAGTTTAAACTACTTGTACATTAAGGAAGCGTTCAGAAAAACCAAAACACCAGAGAAAAAGAACATTAACACCTCACTGCCAACTAGTGTTTTGGAAGTGTTATTGCAGTGCAACAGAAACAGCGCGCAGAAGTTTAAATGCACAGTTACACGCGTTGCATGCGCCATGGGTCACACCGATCACTTGACACAGAAGTATAAACTTAAGTCGTTCTTTCTCTTTTGTATGTTGTAGTGCTGTATTTATACCATAGTAATCTGGTTGTGTTTGCTTTGCTTTAGCTTTTTCGGGTTGATTATTGTGATCTCCCAACAGAGATACTGGGAAATCTCTATAGACTGATGGCATTTCATGCCGTTATAATCTTAAAATGTGAGCGAAATCACCTGTTTTATCATCATCTTTAGGCATTACGCTAGAGAATCATTCAAATACTAGCTCTGAACATTGTCTGCTGTTCTGAGATTAACAACCACTTTGATGAACAACCACTGCTAATACAACAGTAGTCTTAAAAGACACTCTCAGGTTATATAAGTTATATAATAAATAATCATTCACAGTATTTTGAAGTGTCTATGATATCAATATTGGGCATGTTCATTATCACAATATATTGAATCTTTAAATATTGCTAAATGTCCATACCTAATAAATCCAGAAGAACTGGGAATGAAGTGGTCTGTGTAGCTGTCCAAATGCTGAAAGTGACCAGCGTGTGTTTGTTTCTCAGCTCCACAGAGTGCTGCAGTTGGCAGGTCAGAAGGCTTGGCGTGTTGGAGACTTGTTCAGCGCCGTGGCTCAGTTCTGTCAGCTCCACCAGGACCTGGAGCTGAAAGGACGGCCGCTGCCCAGCCTGTTTGACTGGATCCTGAAGACCAAACGCTAGAGCGCCACCCATCAGGAGACCCCCGCATATCCGCACACATTCATAAGCCCTGGAGCCAGTGAGAAAACACCAACAGACATCCCATTCCAGATGCCAATACACCTTCACCAAGACTCTAAGATCCAACAAACTCAACCAAAACCAAACATCTGCACATTTTCAGGAGCTCGGCTGTGAAACTGGAGGTTTACAAGATGCCAGCAGCATTCATGGCCCTCAAGACCCTTAGCATGAAGATTTCTTAGCTATCTTGAACCACCAGCACATCCCACAGAGATCAGATCCACACAATCCTCCATCTCACTCGCACTCGTACACGTGCTAGGAATTCCGGGATATGCTCTAGGAAGAGAAATGCCTTGCTCATACAGTACACGTGCGCACATATCTCATTATCGATTGTGATTTGAGGATACTTCCCTTTAAATTACGCATGTTCCTGTCTTTACGCGCACGCAAACGTAGATCCGACCCGTTTCCAGCCAGCTGGTTTAGAGGAACATGGCTTAAACCGACCAATCAGCCTTGACGTTTTGTAGCTTGCATATTTTTACTGTTCGACGAACCCGTTTCAAATGCACAACATGACTTTTTACGAAGACAAATGAACGCGCGAGCTCTGGCATAGAGATTTGGCGATGTTTAATTCAATGTTTGTATTTAAAGTGAAATATAGTGCGATCTCATCCCAAAACACACTTTGTTGTTTTGAGTTTACATCAGTCGTTTCATTGTACCTCCGAGACTGAATTCTATGTTTAGTTTTTGTGTGACTACTGTTGTTTAAGAGACTTTTATTTTGGCTAGATGTAAATAGTCTAGACTGTGAGCTATTGTACCATCGGGCTGCAAATGGGAATTTACGTTTTCAGTTTTCCGTTCGTGAGGACAGGCAGGATCACAGCACTGAAAGCCTCACCAGATGACTAATATAGAAGTGTGAATATCGCAGAGTATATTTAAAGTACAAGTACAGTTTTGTGTAAACGTGTAAAGTCTGGTGGCGTTATGGTTTTCTCCGCATAGTAACATAATAGTAGTGTGTTTTAATATCAGCGTTGAAGGCACACAGCTGTATCCAGTCTGTCACGGTAAACCTGAATGTATTTATCTTTTCAAAATAAAATTTGCGTACGGTGAGTTTCATGTCAACAGCATTTGTTTGAAAACACTTGTGTGAATGAATGAAATACATTTAGAGAGGCAAAGCTATTCATTTAGTCAGCTTTCCACTCAAAAACAGACCTGAGAGCCAAAAATGGATATCCCAGGTAAAACACACCAGAAAAACTCATATATTATCCCAGCCTGATCACACGAGGCAACGTAAGTATTTTACGTTTTGCCAGTTAATGGCTAATTCGTACGAGTTCAGTCGTATGAAATTGTACGATTTTAAAAAGGAGGCGTGGCACCTAACCCCACCCCTAAACCTAACCGTCATTGGTGGATGAGCAAATCGTACTAAATTTTACTAATTAGAGCGTACGATTTCATACGAATTAGCCACTAAATCAAAAAGTTACAAATTGCCGTGAGATTGTGTTGATTATCCTGTATATTTATGCATTCATTTTCTTTACGGCTTAGTCCCTTTATTAATCAGGGGTTGCCACCGTGGAATGAACTTTCATTTATAAATATATGTTTATGAATAATTGAAAAACTTAATTGCAACTGTTTAATCACTTAGTTTCTCGCAATTAAGTTAAGAGAAAACAATTAGGAATTATGAGATAAAAACTGCAGAATTGCAAGAAAAAAGTGACGATATCACAAGATACTTTTATACTCTGAATTGCTACAGTATCTCAATGAAACGATCATAGAATATCACACGATTTTTATTATAATTTGAAAAACATGCTATTATAAGAAAACATATTATTTATGTGGTAGAAACAAGCACGGAAACATTTCTGAGAATGGTTATTGATTCAACAAACAGTTGTGTGAACATATTTTAGGAATTATAATAATAATAATAGCATTTTTGTACTAGTAGACAGCGCACCTCTAATGCGTCTAACCCATATTTCACCCAGAAAATTCTAAAAAAAGGGGAGAAATACAACCTCACACATATCCTCCACACACATTGCATGTGCTCCAAGAATAGAAATACTACGGCAGTGTGACAGGAACACACACTAAACCACAATCCAGAGAAAGCTGTGTGAATACTGTCTGCTGTCAGTGCCAGATCCTGCAGGTGTTGTCTTTGCTCCCTGCACAAAGATTGACAACAAGGCTTTAAATTACTGACGTGCGCTTGCTTTAGCGGATGAATTCATGTGTGTTACGCAGGTGTATGTAATTGCCTGTAATGATGGTGTCTCCCTCATAGTTGAACGCGCAGGAGAAGATTTCATCCGAATGTCCCTCCAGCACCTGCAAACACGCTCCCGTCTTCACACACCACACACGAGACGTTTTGTCCACACTCGCCGTCAACACGCGGCTCCCCTGCGCATTAAAACACACCTACAGCCACACAGGCAGAGGAAATCATCATATTGCACACTGTTATGAGAATGCGTCAGGATGGCTCTTGATCATATTCCATCATGAAACTTTTTGTTTTCCTTGTGGAGAACATTATACACTCCCCGGCCACTTTATTAGGTACACCTCAATGCATTTAGGCATGTAGACATGTTCAAGATGATCTGCTGCAGTTTAAACCGAGCATCAGAATGGGGAAGAGAGGTGATTTAAGTGACTTTGAACGTGACATGGTTGTTAATGCCAGACGGGCTGGTCTGGGTATTTCAAAAACTGCTGATCTACAAGAATTTTCACGCACAACTATCTCTAGGGTTAACAGAGAATGGTTGAATGGCTTGTTGATGTCAGAGGAGAATGGCCAGACTGGTTTGAGCTGACTAAAAGGCAACAGTAACTCAAATAACTACTCGTTACAACCGAGGTCTGCAGAAGAGCATCTCTGAACACACAACACATCCAACCTTGAGGCAGATGGGCTACAGCAGCAAAAGATCCTGCCTTGTATCAACGGTTCAGGCTGGTGGTGTAATGGTGTGGGGGATATTGTCTTGGCACACTTTGGACCAATTTGTCCGGGAGATTCGCATCATGGATGTGCAGCCGACGAATCTGCAGCAACTGTGTAATGCTATCTTGTCAATATGGACCAAAATCTCTGAGGAAAGGGGGTCCAACCCGATACTAGTAAGGTGTACATAATAAAGTGGCCAGTGAGTGTATTTCAACAAGCAGGAGAAAGAGATAGACAGCTGAACTCAATCTGACCTGTGTTGGTATGACAGGAGTTTTATTACAGCATTGGAGAAGCGAGTGTGTGTGTGTGCATACTTGAGTTATCACTTTTACACAGGAAATGGAAATATTTGGATGATGACGGTGGGGAGGAGAAAGGAGAGAGGATATTATGGTGAGAGATCGCGTAGGGATAGGCTTGAAAATAAAAGAGGAATAAGAGATATGAATATGCTGAGAAGGTGACGAACAACATGATGGGATTGAAGGCAAGAGGGCAGATCAGGTGGATATAAACAGGAAGGGACCTCGACAGGAACGGCAGGAAATGAGTGCATGGGAGTGAATTATTGAGTCCGGCGCTGGAGAGACAGGGGTGGACAGATAATGTGATTTCTTGCCTTTGATATCTCTCCTTTATGGCCTTCTAATTGACATAAACACTGAAACGTGTCAGTGCTGAACACTCTTGATGTACCTGCATATAAAAACACACACACTATAAGACTGTGACAATACAGTAAGCATCACATATACAATAACACAAACACACACTTTTCACAGATTCCTTTTTTTTTCTTCTTTTTTTTTTTTTGAGTGAGACGGGACAAGAAAAGGGGAAAAAAAATAGTAAATCATTGGTAAATCAAGAGCACAGATATGTATGAAAATGTAGTGTAGTGACGTCTCACCATCAGCAGAGGCTGTAGCAATCAGCTGACCAGTGTAGTTAAAACACACATCCAACACCTCATCATTATGACCTAAGAGAGTAGCCAAACACTGACCACCTTCTGCATCCCACACCTATACGCAAGCAGACAAAACCTGTTACAAACCAAACACACCATACACTCATGATGTGTAAGTACTGTAAGAGTTCAATGTCCCTCCCATAATTCTCAGCGATGCCTGTTCTCTTCATTTAAAGCGACAGTTCTGTCATTTATGCACCCTTGTTTTGTTTTTTTTTGTTTTTTTTAGGGTTTTAACCTTCATTCGATAGGACAGTAGAGAGTATTGACAGGAAAGCATGGGGAGCAGAGAGTGGGGAAGGATTGGCTTAGGACAGCGAGGTGGAATCGAACTCCGGTCGCCGTGAGCCCCAGAGTGCATGTGTCGATGCACTAACCACTACACCCCTGTCGCCGAAGCACCCTTGTTTTAAATTAATATGAATGACTTACTTCTGTTGAACACAGAAGATATCTTTAAAAATATTGACAACCTGTAACCATTGACCTCCATAATGTTTGTTTTTGCTACTATGGATGTCAATGGTCACAGGTTTTCAGTTTGTCTTATTTTGTGTTTAACAAAAGAAACTGGAAATAGTTAGAAAAATAAATACTATGAAGGTCAACAGTTACAGGTTTTTAGTCTATCTTGTTTTGTGTTTAACAACAGAAAGAAACTGGAAACCTGTAACCATTGACCTCCATAGTGTTTTTCCTACTATGGAAATCAATGGTTACAGGTTTTTGTGTATCTTATTTTGTCTTCAACAAAATAAAGAAAGTAAAAACCTGTAACCATTGACCTCCATAGTGTTTATTTTTCTACTATGGAAGTCAATGGTTACAGGTTTTTACTTTATCTTATTTTTGTGTTTAACAAAAGAAAAAAAACTGAAAACCTGTAACCATTGGCCTCCCTAGTATTTGTTTTTCCTACTATTAAAGTCAGTGGTTACTGGTTTTTACTTTATCTTATTTTGTTCACCAAAAGAAAGTGAAAACCTGTAACCATTGATCTCTATAGTATTTGTTTTTCCTACTATGGAAGTCAATGGTTACAGGTTTACACTTTATCCTATTTTGTGTTCAACAACAGAAAGAAACTGGAAACCTGTAAGCATTGACCCTCAAAAGTATCTGTTTTTCTTACTATGAAAGTTTCATTTTGGGGGTGAACCATCCCTTTAAAGGACACATACATGCAAAAATCTGCTGTTATGTAACAGCTTTGACACAAAAACTGTAAAAATGAGGACTGTGTTTTCCAGTTTGTTTGCTTTTTTTTTGGCTGTGCTGAATAATTAAGTGCGCTCACACTTGGAATAACAGACAGACAATCAGAGGCAGAGAGATGAAAGTGAATGCAATATGTAAGAAAAAGAACATTGAAGGCGCATCATTAAAAATAGAAGAGTTATAGAGTTCAATAGTAGCCGTAGTAGTTTCACAGTTCTTAAAAAAAAGACCATCTGAGAAAACGTCATGTTGTTTTACCATTGTCACAATCCTTGCAACATAAATATATACATGTAGTGACAACCAAATTTCATTTGATTCAGCGTCTTGCTATTAAAATGATGCAACTGTCAAACGTTGGCAGTGGAAAAACTCCATTTCCATGCAAAGTGATTATAAACAGACCTCAGGGGGAAAGAATCATAATTGAAGAAGATTTTTACGAGACAGCAAGAGAATTACAGAGTGAGGAGAGACAGAAACCTTGCAGGATTTATCCAGAGAGGCCGTGGCGATGAGGGAACAGTCCCAGTTGAACTGCACACAGCTGATCTCTCCACGGTGACCTGAGAGAACGTGAACTTTCCTGGACGAGACAGAATATAAAATGCCAACCAAGTCAGATTTATTTGATTGTTGTTGTTTTTCACAGCACATATAGAGCGTCAAAGCAGCTTTGCAGAAAGGCATGGTGTTATGACGAGAGCAGGGTTTAGGGCTGGGTGATAATATGAGTGTTACTCCAGATTTAGATCTAGACGTACTGTATTTATAGTGTTGTCTAGCACATATTTCAGTGAGCCTTCAATGGTAGTGCAGACGTTTACATAGAGTGCATTAAGAAAGTATTCACAGCGCTTCACCTTTTTACATTTTTTATGCTGCAGCCTTATTCCAAAATGGATTAAATTTGTTTCCTCAACATTCTACACCTAATACCCCATAATGACAATGTAAAAAAAGAGTTTTTGAAATTATTGCAAATTTATTCAAAATAAAAAATCTGAAAAATCGCATGTGCATCAGTATTCAAGCCTTTGCCCAATACTTTGTTGATGCACCTTTGGCAGCAATAACAGCCTCAAGTCTTTTGAATATGATGCCACAAGCTTGGCACACCTGTCTTCTGGAATTTTTGCCCATTCCTCTTAGCAGTACCTGTCAAGCTCTATCAGGTTGGATGGGAAGCGACGGTGTACAGCCATTTTCAGATCTCTCCAGAGATGTTTAATAGGATTTAGGTCTGGGCTCTGGCTGGGCCACTCAAGGACATTCACCGAGTTGTTGTGAAGCCACTCCATTGATATTTTGGCGGTGTGCTCTGGGTCACAGTCCTGATGTAAGATGAACAGTCGCCACAGTCTGAGGTCAGGAGCACTCTGAAGCAGGTTTTCATTCAGGATGTCTCTGTACATTGCTGCATTCATCTTTCCCTCTATCCTGACTAGTCTTCAGTTCCTGCTGCTGAAAAACATCCCCACAGCATGATGCTGCCACCACCATGCTTCACTGTAGGGATGCTATTTGCCTGGTGATGAGCTGTACTTGGTTTTCTCCAAACGTAACGCCTGGCATTCACTCCAAAGAGTTAAATTTTAGTCTTATCAGACCAGGGAATTTAGTTTCTTATGGTCTGAGAGTCTTTTAGATGCCTTTTGTCAAACTTCAGGCCGTGAGTGGCTTCCGTCTGGCCTCTCTACCATACAGGCCTAATTGGTAGAATGCTGCACAGATGGTTGTCCTTCAGTAAGGTTCTCCTCTCTCCACAGAAGAACGCTGGAGCTCAGACAGAATGACCATCGGGTTATTGATCACCTCCCTGACTGAGGTCCTTCTCACTCAGCTTAGATGGCCGGGCAGCTCTAGGAAGAGTCCTGGTGCTTCCAAACATCTTACACTTATGGATGATGGAGGACACTGTGCTCATTGGAAATTTCAGAGCAGCATATGTTTTTCTGTAACCTTCCCAAACCTTGTGCCTCAAGACAATCCTGTTTCTGAGGTCTACAGACGATTCCTTTGTCTTCATGCTTGGTTTGTGCTTTGACATGCACTGTCAACCCTGGGCCCTTGTATAGACAGGTGTATGCCTTTTCAAATCATGTACAATCCACTGAATTGACCACAGGTGAACTACAATGAAGCAGCTAAAACATTTCAAGAGTGATCAGTGGAAACAGAAAGTACCTGAGCTCAATTTAGAGTTTCACTGCAAAGGCTGTGAATACTGATGTACATGTGATTTTTTAGGATTTTTATTTTTAATTTTTACTCCTTTTTCACATTGTCATTATGGGGTATTGTGTGTAGAATTTTGAGGAAATAAATAAATTTAATCTATTTTGGAATAGGGCTGCAACATAAAAAATGCGGAAAAAGTGAAGCGCTATCAATACTTTCCGGATGCACTATATGGTTGGTTTTGAAAGGAAGATAAGTTAGTAAATCAGTCTCAAACAGTGACGTTCAGTACACACTGACCTGCCAGAAGGAACATCCCATAAAATGGCAGTGTGGTCAAATGACCCCGTGACCAATCGATCACCCGTTGTGTTAAAGCACAGAGAGATGATCTCAGCGAAGTGACCCTGAAAAAAAGTATTCAACAGACAAAGGCTCTGAATGAAGAAAGCCAGAGCTAATAAAAAGACAGTCTTTTTTTACCTCAGCAATGAAATATCGTATTAATTCCCCCAATTCATCGGTAAGAACTCGTAGAGCTATTCATAATTTAGATTCATAGAGGAATAATTGGAGAGTTAAGAGGGGTAATTACACAGCACACACGCACCGAGCGTTCGGTCACACTGCTCTGCCATGTGCTGTGGAGAGGAAAAGACCTCCACACGCTCTGTCTCACCCTCCTCAAAGCTCCAACATCAGGTTTCTCATATTCAGTTTACATCCTGATGCATTTCTTTACATTCTGTGTCAAGCGGCTAAACAAAATGGAATGCTTGAATTACCGCATAAATGATCATAATGAAAGATTTATGCCAAGTTCATTAATTAAGAAATGCATGGCTAAGTTTTCACTGATCACTGCGAATTAAAGTGAAATCATTCAAAATCCTTTGGGAGAAGAGCAGATGAGGGGAAATGATGAAGCTGGATGGGTGGCAATGTGTGTGTGTGTGATTCAGATAATACATACTGCCAATGTAGACACCTCTTCCCCACTTTCAACATCCCATAATTTAGCCGTGGTGTCCATGCTGCCTGTAGCAACAAGGGTACTTTGAGGGTTAAAGGCCAGGCATACCTATAATAGACATGCAGAAAATTATAAACAGTATTTCAGATTAAGTGAACAAATTTCAAGTCTGGCAAATGATGAAACATGAAAGTAAACGTCATATAAAAACTGCTAAAGAAAGTCATACAGGGTTAAAGAAGCAGCATAGGGGTGTAAATATGAGGAGAGAATTGAACATTTTAGGTGAGCTGCTTGTTAAACAGCTGACAGTGATGCTGGTTTTTAGGTGATGTGAAGTGAAAACCAGACGTACGATTTCTGCCGTGTGCCCTCTAAACGTGTAGAAACACTTTCCTGTTTCAGCACTCCACAATTTGCAGGTCTTGTCAAAGGAGCCTGTGGCAACCTTGTCTCTGAGAGCGAGAGACAGTGAGAAAGAGGGCAGAGAAGAAGAAAAAAGGGACAAGTGCTCCTGTTATGACTCAAAGTGACAAATGGTCCCATTGTAATAACAACACCAGTTACCCTGCAGTGCCCTAACCCTGCAGAATCAGACAGAGATGGTTGTTTGCTTTCTATTTCATCCCCAAAAAAGAGCTGTTCTGAGTGTTTCAGGACATACGTGATGAAATGAGCGAGAGCGGTGCTGTTACCCGTAAGGGTTGTTGAAGGCGATGGCATACACAACGTTCCTGTGACCCTCCAAAGTGTGCAGCTCCTCTCCGGATGCAGTGTCCCATATTTTACAGGTCCTGTCATAGCTTCCGGTTATAAAGCTGCAAACAGACGGAAAGTGAAGGGGAGAGGGAGGATCGGAGAGAGGGAGGCATGTGAGCGCAGCTGATAAACTCACCAAGATCCTGATTTATTGAAGGCTACATTCGTCAGGGGCAAGATGTGAGCCTGAAGTGCCTGTAGATGAAGACAGAGAGGACAAATACTCGGGAGGGGGAAGCACTTAACCACATTAATTTATTTCAGATCTTTAAGCTTCACTGTGTAATTTCCATACTTAATTACCATGCCTTTGATGTATAAACACAGCGGTGTTTCCCTTTGCTGCCACCCAGTGGGCATTTGTGATATTAGATGTCCTGTTCTTAGCCAGAAAATCATTCAAATGCATTTCACTTAGCTATTTAGTTTAGAAGTAGTATAGTTTTGGGAGAAGTCTTTATGCTTATAAAAAATAGTACAGTGAAATATTTTAGAAATTGTGTTCTAAAGGATTTTTTATTTCTGTGATCACAGCTGAATTTCTTTGGCATCATTATTCCAGTCTTCTGTGTTAAATGATCCTTTAGAAGTTATTATAATATGATTTGCTGCATTTATTAAACCTCTGTTTGTGATTTTTTACAAACTTTAACAAAACCCTTTGTACAATCAATGTTGTAATTTTTCCCTATAATGACGCTTGCGGTCGAAATAAATTTACAAATAAATAAAAAAAGGAACATAAATAGATAAAATTACAATAAAGCAAAATGGAATAAAATCAAAAGACATATAAATAGACAAACTTTACAGTATTGTACACATTTGCAATTATATAAATAATCAATTGTAAAAATAACTAAATACCTACATGATAATACAAATAATTATATTATTTATTATTTTAAAAGTTATAATTGTATAATATTAAAATAATATAATTAGAATATAGTATCATTATGTTTGTGTGTTTGTGTGTGTGTGTGTATGTATATATACATACACTCACTGGCCACTTTATTAGATACACATTAGGTACGCCTTACTGGGTTGGACCCCATTTTGCGTTGAGAACTGCCTTAATCCTTCATAGCATAGATTCAACAAGGTGCTGGAAATATTCCCCAAAGATTTTGGTCCCTATTGACATGATAGCATCATGCAGTTGCTGCAGATTTTTTGGCTGCACATCCATGACGCAAATCTCCCATTCCACCACATCCCAAAGGTGCTCTATTGGATTGAGCACTGGTGACTGTGGAGATCATTTGAGTACAGTGAACTCATTGTCATGTTCAAGAAACCAGTCTGAAACCATTCGTGCTTTAAGACATGGTGCGTTATCCTGCTGGAAGTAGCCATCAGAAGATGGGTACACTGTGGTCATAAAGGGATGGACATGGTCAGCAACAATACTCAGGCAGGCTGTGGCGTTGACACGATGCTCAATCGGTACTAATGGGCCAGAAAGTGTGCCAAGAAAATATCCCCACACCATTACATCACCAGCCTAAACCGTTGATACAAGGCAGGATGGATCTATGCTTTCATGTTGATGATGCCAATTCCTGACCCTACAATCAAAATATCGCGGCAGAAATCAAGATTTATCAGACCAGGCAACGTTTCTCCAATCTTTTATTGTCCAGTTTTGGTGAGCCTGTGTGAATTGTAGCCTCAGTTTCCTGTTCTTAGCTGACAGGAGCGGCACCCGGTGTGGTCTTCTGCTGCTGTAGCCCATCTGCCTCAAGGTTGGACGTGTTGTGTGTTCAGAGATGCTCTTCTGCAGACCTCGGTTGTAACGAGTGCTTATTTGAGTTACTGTTGTCTTTCTATCAGCTGGAACCAGTCTGGCCATTCTCCTCTGACCTCTGGCATCACCAAGCCATTTGCGCCCACAGAACTGCCGCTCACTGAATATTTTTTCTTTTTCTGACAATCCTCTGTAAACCCGAGATATCGTTGTGCATGAAAATCCCAGTAAATCAGCAGTTTCTGAAATACTAAGACAACCATGCCACATTCAAAATCACTTGAATCACCTTTCTTCCCCATTCTGATGCTCAGTTTGAACTGCAGCAGATCGTCTTGACCATGTCTACACGCCTAAATGCATTGAGTTGCTGCCATGTGATTGGCTGATTAGAAATTTGCATTATTGAGCAGTTGGACCTAATAAAGTGGCTGGTGTGTGTAAAGTGAGAGGTATTATGAGTACGGTGTGGCGTCTAAGGATGGTGAGAGATGTTATAAAAGAGAAAGCATGTCATACTGCTCTACCTCTAAGGACTCGACAGATTTCTAAATGTTTTTTCTTGTACAGCTAGACTTTGCTTACTAAACCAGTCATGGACAGAATCACACAGTATCCCGAATAGATCCAATGTGCAAAAAAGGTTGGTCACTATTTATAAGTACCCTAAAAAGGTAAAACTTGCGCTCATCCTTTTGGCTGACTTTCTCCTGCAGTTTGCAGATCAGGAGTTTCACCTGCTCGACACAGGAGGAGGTGATGAGAGGCTCAGCTGCTCTAATCTCTAAAACCAACTCTTCCACATCAGTCCTGGAGGAGAAATATAGAGGAAATATCACATAAAGCATGAAAGTAACCAATATGACTCAAGCACTTTGTTCCTAGTCTTCCAAAGGCTTTGATGGAGGAATAGACTAAAAGTTTGAATACATTGAGGACACATCATGCTAGGTTTGATGTCAATGATGTCTGATGTCACTGGTCCCAAGTGTGTCTCGTGCACCAAAAAAGGGCCCAAAATCCCCTTTCACACACATTTACCTTTACTGACTTCAAGGGATAGTTAAGATAAAGTTAAAATTGATTCATCATTTACTCACCCACATGTGGTTTAAAACCTTTCATGCAGGGGTGCCCAAACTTTTTTGTATACAGGGCCAAAAGCGAAATCATTGAGAGCCATGGGACGAAGGTAAATAAATCAAGCTATGTAACATTTATGTTGCCATGGGTATTTTCCTAATTTATTTCATAAGATTTAAAAGTAAACAGAAAACATTACTTTAGACCATGTTAACTAATGCAAAACAACATTTAAATTGATATTGCAATAAAAACATAAACAATCACATTTTAACAGAGTTTAATGCAGAATACGCTAGTCAAGCAGAATCTGCCTTTGCCTTGATTTGTCCTCAATCCATTTTGTAAATTTAAACTAAATCTGATTAATTTACACACTATTTAACTGAAACTTTAAATTTCAGTAAGCTTTTAACAATAAAGCAAACAATCTCTAAACCATACCCATCATTCTGCCTCTTTTCTCAGATGGGATGACGGACCAAATCAAAGGTTACTATGGGCCAACTTTGGCCCGCGGGCCTTAGTTTGGGCATCCCTGCTTTTATGAGTTCATTTTTTATGTTGAACACTAAAAGAAGATATTTTGAAGAAAACTGAAAACCTGCAGCCATTGACTTTCATAGCAGGAGAAACAAATGAAGAGTTCAGATGCAAAAACCTGCGCCATCTGAAATGTCCATCAAAAATGAACATCTTTCTCAGCCTCCTTTGTTGATGTTGAGATATTTCACTTTAAAGACCAGGAAAATAACCTGTTCTTTGCCATAAAAGTTATGTTACTGAACATACACACAGGAGCCTGATAAAAGTGCTCATTTTAGAGGAGAATTTTAGACGGCATTTAGAGGTTTTTGCATCTAAACTCTTCAAATACTATGGAAGTCAAGGATTACATGACTCCAGTTGTCTTCAAAATATATTAGTTTGTGTCTAAAAGGAAACAAAAATTAAATACAAAGAGATTTAGAACAAGTAAATGATGTGTAAATGACGACATAATTAAAAATTTTGTGTGAACTGTTTCTTTAATTTTTAATTAATTCAACCCAAGTGGTCGAGTCTTTATCCATTTTACGTTAGGCTAAAACGTGTTGAACATCAGTTTAAAGAGTTTCACCACAACAACATCTTCAGTCATTATGAGTCATTTATTATTATTTATTATGAGTTAGCTAGGCATACTTACTCTGGAGTCAAGTTTAACAGATCGATGCATTTCGTCCTCAGCTGTCCCCCTTTTTCATAGTCTAGGAAAATTCCTGCACAGCAAATGAGAATCAAACGAACTTTCATTCCTGCGTCCAAACTGAACCAGCCACTCTATACAACTCTATGCGATGAATAGCTTGGAATATTAAACGTTTAACGCGATTGTTACCTGGAGGATAGTACCGTATGTGCATCCGTTTCAGTCTCATCACGACGACATTGACTGAAGACAAGAGTGTCAACAAACCGTTACTACGGTGACGAGACACATGTGCTGCGTACTACGCATGCGTGGTTTTGCATCTTTTATTTCAACACTTTTATGGCAATTCGAAACAGTTTAACCTTTTCCAAATACTTTATTATTATTATGAATATTATAAATATATAAATATACAGTAGCTGCTACATATAGTAACAGGTTAGTAAAGAGCCTAATAAGTAAGTTTATAAACTTTGTAAGTTTTCCTGAATCTCCAGAAGCAACTAATCTCTGGTAAATTTAGCCTTTTTATTTCATTACGTTAAAACAAACACTCCCCGGCCACTTTATTAGGTATACCTACCTTACTAGTACGGAGTTGGACTCCGTTTTGCCTTCAGAACTGCTTTAATCCTTCGTGACATAGGTTCAACAAGTTTCTGGAAATATTCCTCAGAGATTTTGCTCCATATTGACATGATAGCATCACACAGTTGCTGCAGATTTGTCGGCTGCACATCCATAATGCAAATCTTCCTTTCCACCACATCTCAAAGGTGCTCTATTGGATTGAGATCTGGTGCCTGTGGAGGCCATTTGAGTACAGTTAACTAATTTTCATGTTCAAGAGACCAGATATGATTCTCGCTTCATGACATAGCGCGTTTCTCCGTTATCCTGTGGAAGTAGCCATCAGAAGATGGGTACGGTAGAAAACATCCCCCACACCATTACGCCACCACCATCAAAGTCACGTAAATCATCTTTTTTCCTCATTCTGATGCTCGGTTTCAACTGCAGCAGATCATCTTGACCATGTCTACATGCCTAAATGCATTGAGTTGCTGCTGTGATTGGCTGATTAAAAATTTGCGTTAACGAGCTGTTGGACCTAATAAAGTGGCCGGTGAGTGTATAGTGAGAGGTATTATGAGTATGGTGTGGTGTGGCTGGTGGGTGTATAATTGTAGTGCACTTTATTTCAGAATTGCATATTGATAATATTACGAAAAGTAACCGTGGTTTTACTGTAAATTAAATAAATAAATAAAACTATAGTTGAACCATAGTAGCCACAAATGTACTTTGCTAGTTTTTGCTAGCATGGTGCTTGTACAACTGTGGTATTATTTATTATTATCTTTTTATTATATAAAACTAGTATTTTATTATAATCAATGTGTTAAAAACAAAACTAAGGTTACTACACTTTTACTACAACAAAACATGATAAATTTTTGTAGGGTGATATAATTGTTGTTTTACTTATGTTTGGATATATGGTTGAGGAATGTAAAATATGGTAAAGCAGAATAAAACCTTCATCTGTGGTACCTATAAAAAAACTTAAATGGTGATATCCATCCAGTTAATATTCAAAGTGAGTTTTCTAAGTGTTACAAATATACTTAATTGCGATTAATCACATTCATAAGTTCATTTTAAAAATATATATATATTTTGTACGTACTATAATGTGTATATAAATATATATGTATGACTATATTGTATAAAATATTCGCATATATTTATATAAATATAACATTTGTATATTTTTTGTAACTTATGTACAATATGTTTGTGTATTTATACATATAAACAAAAGTATGCACTGTACGCATAAAAACATTTATCTTGAATTTGAAATATCATTTGACAACACTACATATTTTATTATATTATAAATAATAATATATATATTTTTCATTTTATTCAATGATTTTATTATTCATTTGAAAAAAATAATCCTGTAAGGTTGTTTTATGCATTATAAAAATCACCATCAAATGTGTTGTATAAGTCATAATAGCTTTTAATTATTTGTCAACACATACGCACACACTTATGCACACCAATTAGAGCCTTCATGCACTCAGATCAAAGTCTCCATCATAAAAATGTTCATTTCCCCACCTTGCTGAATTCCTTCTGTGGAAATCAGTGCCTGGACTAGGCTTATACTTTACAGCACAGCAAAAGTATCATTACATATACCAAATCAGCAGCTTCTGGACCTAAAAAGAGAGGAAAATAGGCAGAAAAATGAATTTATGGAGGAAAATGAGAAGGTCAGACTGGGTCTTTCCCACCGTTTTACTTTCTCTTTATGGTTTCTTTGCCAACTGCAGACCTGCAGAGCCTTTTCTCACACCGTATTTAGTGGGACCCAAAAACATCTCGGAGGAAGTGGTGTGTATTTCTCTCTCTCTTTTTTTTTTTTTTTTTCATTTTTATAGTGACATAGAAGTCAATAGCCTATATAGAGATTGTTTCGGGCTCCAACAGATAATAATAACACTCTAAGAAAGGTAAAAATAGCAGTCAGTGCTGTGTGTTAATATGAAGGAATTTTCTTTATTGATTTTTTTTCACAGGTTTTTTCATTTGCGCATTGCTTTGTGCTTTAGGGTTGAAATGATACTGGTAATTTTCTGCAAGGATATTATTATTTTCATTATCTCAAAGTGAGAAACAAGTGCTAATGGTACTATTATACTGCATAATCTACTGAGCCTTTAGTACAAATGCTCTCATTACAATGCAAATTAATGAATAATGAATGTTTATAAGGATAATATACACTTCGAGATAAGTTTTGCTAATGTTTTTGATTAAAAGATGTCATTATGCGTTAAGTAAAAACAGTAATATTGTGAAAAAAAGATTTTAGTTAAATAAATTATTTTTGAAAACTAAAATATTTTAGATGTCTCCTCAGTAATTTTAAAACGTAATCTATTTCTGATTTAAAACCAAATTTTGAGCCTCATTACTCCAGTCCTGCTGCTATTATTTATTATTGATTTATCACACCATTTCCAGCCGCGATATACTTGTATTATCGATACTCTATCACTCTAGTATCATGCACAAAATGTAAAAAAGATCTAATTGAATTCATCACTCTTGCACTGCAGCCGTTTACCACTTTGGCTTTTGGCTGGCCTAAATAAGTGTCTTAGATTTACAGAAAAATAATTTGACTTTTTTTATGGTTAAATGTAATTTGTGCTAATATTGGGATGCTGCTGCTTTGACTAATTTAGAGATGTGACCTTTTTAGCCACAAACTGCTCTGTTTTACAGCAGCATTTTCAAGTTTTTTTTTACTTGTTGCGATTCTATAAAATGTGCTGTTTATTAAAGAAATACATCTGAATTTTTATCCATTTTTCTTCTTCATTCACATATATTGTGATAAATCGTAAATAGATATATCGTAGATATATATATATATATATATATATATATATATATATATATATATATATATATATATATATATATATATATATAAATTATTAGGGTCTAATGAATCCTTGATGAAGGTTTTTTTACCACAACAATGACATTTGTCAGAAATATTACTTGAGCTGCAAATCATTAATTTTCAAAGGATCATCTGACACTGAAGACTGGTGTTATGATGCTGAAAAATCACAGAAATAAACTGCTTTTAAATTAAAGTAGCATAGAAAGCATTTTTTAAGCGAAATAATATTCCACAATATTTCTGTTCTGTTTTGGCGGTTCATTCCGCAGTGGTGACGCCTGATGAAGAAGGGAATAAGCTTAAGGAACGTGAATGAGGGACTTTTAATACTTTTATTTGATTTTTTATTAAATAAACACAGCACTGGAAAACAGAAGAAATGTCTTTTTTTTTTTTAATTACTTAATCATAATGTTTCATGGGCTTGACAGGTTTCATATAGGAGCTCTTAAATTATATTGAAATTATAGCGCTTAAAATATTTCTTTATCCAAGTCATTTTCCAGTAGCATACACTAAAATAAATTGCTGTAAAATTTACATTATTACTGGCAATTTTGGTTGCGCTGTAAATTAGCATTTACAATTGAGCTGTAGTTTTACAATTGTTAATTTATAATGAGCTTGTAAAATTTGCAGTTATAATATGGTAAAAATTGCCAGTAATACTGTAAAATTTACAAGTGCACTGTAAATTAACAATAACAACTGTGCTGTAAAACTACAGCACAATTGTAATTGTTAATTTACAGTGTGCTTATAAAATTTGCAGGTATAATGCTGTAAACATCTGTGGTAATACTGTAAAAATTGCCAGTAATTCTGTAAAATTTACAAGCGCGCTGCAAATTAACAATTACAACTGTGCTGTAGTTTTACAACACTGTTGTAATATTTATTTTGCAGTGTGCTTGTAAAATTTGCCAGTATAATACTGTAATAATGAGTGGTAATACTGTAAAAATTGCCGGTAATACTATAAAAAAAATTGCCAGTAATGCTGTAAAATTTACAAGTGCACTATAAATTAACAATTACAGTTGTACTGTAGTTTTACAGCACAGTTGTATTATTTCTTTTGCAGTGCGCTTGTAAAAATTGCAAGTATGTTACTGTAAAAATTGCCAGTAATATTGTAAATTTACAAGCACACTGTAAAATAATAATTACAATTTTTCTGTAAAAGTACATTAATTATTATTTATTAATATGTAATTATTCCTTTACAATGCACATGTAAATTTTACAGCATTTTTTACAGTCTACGGTCTAAAACTAGCGCCCCAAAAATTGTCACCTGCATTCTCTAATGACTACATCTTTATGCTAATAACGTCTCACACACAATTGAATCTCACGAATTAGCTGTAGGCTACTGATTTCAAATCATTTACACTGCCATTTCTAATTTATCTCACCAAAGACTCTTCTTTCCTCTGATGCAGGTAACAAACTACCTGTTTCCCATCTGGACGTACTCCTACCTGTCCCTGCTCTGCCCAGTCTTCCTACTGACAGATTTGCTCAGATACAAACCTCTGATTGTAGCTCAAGGCCTTTTTCTGGTCACAAATTACATCATTTTGAGCTTTGCCAACAGCTTACCTGCTCTGACCTACCTGCAGTTTAACTTTGCCGTGGTCACGTCCACCGAAGTGGCCTACTTTTCTTATATCTACAGCGTTATTCCTCCTGAACGCTACCAGCGGGCCACAGGGTATGTGCGCAGTGCTATGCTAGCCGGGTATACATTTGGAGCCA